AGTGACAATCCCTAATATACTGACCTGGGGTATCGCGCTAACTACATGTCCTTTCGCAATCTTCACCATCTCCCCGATAGCTATGATATTCCTTCTTTTTTCAACCAGGGGTTGTCTGATTTGAAAATCGTTGATAGCATGGGCGAATTCAGTAATTATACCAAGAATATGCTCCTCGATGAAGTAGCCTATCAAATTTGTTCTCCTTGGAGCATGCCCTGACTTTCGTGGGACAAGGGCTGCTAGGAGTTGAAGCGCACGAGAGAACTGCCTTTATTAGTCCCAAACACCCAAATGGTTAAAAGTAAAACTCTACCTACCCTTGCTCTTTTCTCGTCCCCGGAATCCCCAAGACCCTTGAATAAATGACAAGCAATTAGAATCGGTTCGATCCGTACAAGCTCCGCCAAGGTACGACCTTCAAAGGCAGTATCTACTTCTGACAAAGCGGACATTGCCATATCCTGTGGGTTTGACGACGCCTGACTCAACAAGAATGCTAGGATTGCTGCAAGGTTATTTTTCTCTGAACAAACATCGAAGGGGGTTTTAGAATCCTTATAAGTCGCCCCTATCCTAGCGATAATATCTCGTTTACGTGTTAGCACTAGATGTGGTAATACATATAACTCAGTCAACCTGAGGAAATCGTCCACTTTCATTCCCAACAGATCACAAAGGTGTTCTGCCATGCATGGACGTGATTGGAAGTTTTTCATTATTGTCACGGAAAGAGTTCTCCAAAAAGGCCTGAACAAGCCTGCAGGAGTGACTGAGAGGCGCTGTGCAAGCTTTGAAATCTAGTTATAGATTTTCGTTAGAGTGCAGCCTATGTAATAGATGACAGTAGAGCTTATCCACAAATGACTGTAACCAGGAAGGTGATGTGGATCAGATTTACGTACTTCAGTATACGCTACCGCACAAATGAAAGGATTCGGGTGGCCCAGGTATTCAACCAGGCGAAGAAGGACAATGTTCATCTCTTCGTCATTGGAAAGTCTTAGCAACACATGGCTGTTAGCATATGCGACAAAACTGTCGAGAAGTTTAGTACATACGTTGCAAGGCGACAAAGTGTTAGTATACATGTTTCATGTAATGACTGTTCTTGTTTTTCTGAGAGGCTTTTTAACCATTCTAAGATGACAACAAAATTGCCGCGACGTGTTTTATTATCAAGGCCATTGCAAATAAAAGCGACTATTGAGTGTCTAGATATACGTAAGTATCGCATGATCAGAACAGCAGTAGACAAATCGTACCCAGTGACGATTCGCAGTTCTCTGATGGAGCTCCGAAGAGAATGGAGGCAGAACTCGCCGAACACAGAAGAGGATAGCTGCGAATAAGTTGGATCCGACGTATGCAGCAGTGTTCGTCTTAGCGTGATCATTGCGGCGATTCTGAGGCTCGTGGTACGTGTGAGTCTAGGAATAATGTAGGCCAAGATTTTGCAGAGTTCTTCAATATTAGGACATTCTCTGCTCGACCCTACACCGTTTTCACCATCGCACACATGGCAAAGTGGGGTACCATTCGGTGCTATGTCACTCAATTGTTTTAGTTCCCTAGCCATAGCACAAGGGATTTTGCCGAGTGTGCTAAGAAGATCGCATTTCCTTTGTTCATCGAGGCTAGCAAAGGTATCACTGCTGCAACGTCAGCTCGCCTTTCGAGTGCTATCGCTTGCTATGCGAACTTACACAACAGCCGGATAGAGGTCACACAAGCCGCCGGGGGATGTGAAACCTATCAATGCAAGGGAAACTGCTATAAGTTGCTGTGCTGTATCTCCAGACTCTGAGTGTGGGGGGAGTTGAGGAATAACGCGGCGTTTTGACGCCTGAAGAGGCTCATCATCCTGAACCGCAGAGCTCGAGAGTTCATGTTGCTGAAAACGGCAGTCCGATTCCGATACAAAGACTTTGAATGGCTCGATGGACACGGTTTTTGCGCCACCACGTTCTAGACTTATACGGGAAATACTATCGAGAAACCCATGGATCGAAACCTTTCGTACAATAAGCTTAACTCACACTATAATGGGTCTAACTACAGCGGGACAATTACCTGAAGCTGTGTCTCGAGAGTCTGGAAACGATGTGGCATCTTTGTAAGACCACTAAGTGCTGGAGAAATGGTAGCTCTGAGGCACTGGAAAAGCGCCCTGGTATACTTGATGCGGTTAGTGAAGGTGTCCAAAAGCTGGCTTAACTCACTCTGTAAAGTGGAGAATTGGCAAAGTTTGTCCATTGCAAAGATTTCCTCCAAGATTCGCAGCAAGCCGTACATTAGTTCGACTTCCGATGGTGAGGATACGTCCTGGCAGCAGCATGATCGAATACATATCACGAACTGCAAACTTGCGCTTATCTTGTTTTCTATGAGTTCTGGCTGCGGGCTCTGGAGCCAGTGAAAGATGAGGGTCCAGAGGCGTCGGTAGCCATTCAAAACCCAGGCTACATTCTGTCGAATAACGGAATTCTTGCTTGCCACAAAATGAGGGTTGTCATTGTCTGTTCTGAATGAATCGAGGAGACGAAGAGTTAGATGGAAGGCGTGCGATAATGATACGAGCTTGAATCTCTTCTCGAAAAGACTGCGAGGTAGGCCGAGCCTGTCTAGATCTACAAGGAGATTTCCTTTTAGGGCCGGTAGAATTATTTTAACTTCCGAGTCAGCTCGCAGATTGAAGTTATTGAGATTCTCGAGAGAAAGCAAGACCTCTGAGGTTCGTTAGCCCAACATCCCTACCAACAGTCCCAAACGTACCCGTTGTGCATGCTCGTAAAAGGCCGGCAGTGGAATGACAAGAGGGCCACAGTCTAGAATGCCTATTTTGAGCGCAGAGTATGCTTGTAAGGATACCCCTAGCCTTCCAACTGATAACTTCATTGTTCCAAATACCGAGCAATTGGAGTAACCGTACGACCAACCAGGCGTACAGCGGCGCATATGTGCTTTCCCCCAAAACAGCTGGATCAGGATATTCCGTTAGGGTTTGAGGTGCCTTCTCAATTGATACCAATACAATATCCAGACAATCCAAAACTTGACCTTGAGAGTCAGGCTTTGGATCCTTGGTGCATGGTTCCAAACCTGCTTTCAAAACGATGCATATCAATTTGCTGATATCTGTAACCTTGTCATCAAAATGAACTTGGCTATGTTTCCCTCCTGCAAGTTCTTGGCGGAGCAGGGAAAATGTCTCTTTGCTCAGGCTATGTGTCTGGTTCCCTTGGGAAGGGAGGCGCGGTGCTAACTGTGCTGCCAAGGTAATTGGGGGTTTCCAGCTGCCATTCCCTAGAGCTAGATATCGAGACGTCTCGATGTCATTAGTTGCCATCTGGGGCATGCCTAATCATCTTTTAGGCTAATAGAGAACACCGGGTTAATGTTGAACTTGGGCGCTAATGAATGATGGATTTCTACCTGCTTCACGGGTAGTGCTCCGGGTGCGACCCGATATTTGAGCTGCAACTTACGATTGTTGTATTTAATCTGTAATACATGTATTGCAAAAAGCCATGGCAACCTTGGAACGGACCTCTTAACTTCGATCCAGAGTGCACTTACGCATCCTTCTATATACCGATCTACCTTGAAAGCAACTCCGAGTGTAATAAGGTACAGCATTTCTCAGCGCCATCCTGGAATAGGTTAGAGTCACATCGTTGACAACGTTAACCATACATCCATTGATGTTTTGTATATGTTCACTTAGACTGACGTTGTCTATCAGGAACGGTCCTTTACGATAAATATTGAATCAATGCACATATTATTCCAGTTACTGGAGCAGAAATTGTTGAATCAGGGACTCGTGAGTTGGGATCTCAGATACTCACGAAAGCTTTGAAAATCAGCTTCATCAAGTCTAAAAGCGGATAATAATCTGCCGGCTATGGAGGAAGACTTAAGACACGCTTACTTTATGAAGCAAGCTTTATTGATGGTAATGCCGGCCTGGGCTTTATACATGATATTAAGCGAATCAAGAGGGCTCACATTGTTTTAGGGAGAAAAAGCTCTCGAGACAGGCGAAACTCCAGTTGGGTGTGTCTTAGTATATGACAACCAAATAGTCGGCTCCGGAATGAACGACACAAATAGGTCAATGAATGTACGTTGCCCAGCTCTCATGGAATTGTATCTGTGCGAGAAAGCAAATTTGAGCGTGCACTGTACTATCAAAGCGAACCTTTCTTTTCAACCATAAGGAGACAGGTCTTCCAACATTATTGTGAAAGTCAATTGTAGAAAACTGAGTGTCCTGACTTATTTCATCAGGGCACAAAACATGCAGAGTTCATTGCGATCGAGCAGATGCTCCAAAGTCACCCTAAATCCTTACTTCGTTCAACAAAACTCTATGTCACGGTCGAACCATGCGTTATGTGTGCTTCTGCTTTGAGGCAGTACCGAATACAGGCTGTGTATTTTGGCTGCGGTAATGAACGTTTTGGGGGCACGGGAAGCATTCTCTCGCTACACACCGAGTTCGTCACTCTCCAGGCTTGACTCTACTGAAATCCTAACACACAGTAGTTTCTCAATAGACCCACCTTACCCAGTGTATGGTGGGTTGTTTAGTAAGGAAGCCGTAATGCTACTTCGAAGGTTTTATATTCAAGAGAACGAGAAAGGCAAGTGATCATCTGTCATTATCAAGGACTCGAAGCATTTATTGACTATTGGTAGCGCCTAAACCTCGCCCCAAGAAAAACAGAGAGCTAAATACAAGATTTGAGGACGACTAAGAGCTACGACCTTACGGCCTTAAGAGGCAGCAGGACTCGAACGCCAGTGAAGCCATTATGGGAATGCCACCAGCGCTGCCGAAAAAGCTATCGCTACCATGTGGCTTAGGAGAGTCATGGTTAAGAGGTAAAATGAGAAAGTTCTCGTATGCTTGTGTTATCCACCAAACCTAAAAAATAAATATACCAGACCGCGCAAGTTACAGCTCAACTTGATTATCCATACCAATCATATTTTCACGCAGAACCAGCCTTCGCCAAACGTTCCGCTTCAAGCTCACGCTCAGCCTGCTGATAGTACTTAGCTGTGTCCACGCCATGCTTTATAGAAGTTAGCCCGTGAATAAAAGGCAGATGGCAGACCAGGAAAGGGGAACAGTCCGACCTGATCATGGTTTACAATGTTGAACCAGGGAAGAACATGAATGAACAACTCTGAATACCGCGAGTTCCTGGCTGCAACCCCCTGCAGATACGCAGACACCTTCGAGGTGCCATACAGAGATTCACCTCTCTTGACCTTGTCAACCATCTCTCTTGTATCCATCTCAACTTCTCTCGAATTCTCGGTGAAACCATAGAAGCGATCTGATAGTCATATAAGCCAATGCTTCTCACCGTAAAGCGGCAATTGACATACTGCAGGATCTTTGGTAGAGCACATGGAGACCTCCAATAAGGCCAATTGCTGTTGCTAGCCGCATCACAGGGGCGAAGCCTCCTCTCCCAACATGAGATGGGCTTACCCTTTCCATAGCCCAGAATGCTAGTGGCGAGGCGGCAGCTGCTCCACCAGCAATAGCATAATCAGAAGGTCTCGCATACCCAAAAACTCGCCTCAGGTGCCTGGAAGCAGTGAGCACTTGTTAATAATTCTATGATTTCAGCAATCCATACGGGTCGGAATCAATCAACTGCAAACCGTAGTTAGCAATTGTTCCTTCATCCTAAGTTGGGGAAGGGGGGGCTCTCGCACCGGATAGTCGGAATTAGCCCGTTTAGGGGGGGCAAGAACTGTCTTGGGATCAGTGGCCATTGTGACCAAGTTGAGTCTGAAGCAAGCCTGTAGTGGTCGTATTGTTAAAGACGGCTTTCGTTGCGACGGAGGTGAACTCGGAGAACACAAGTTGTGCCAAGAGTGGAACCTTTCCGGCTTCAGACTAGCTTATTAATCAAAGGCATTGGGGCGAATCATCGACCACTCCCTTGTTCACCAATTAGCATAGCTGATTACTATACTGAGCTTTGAGAAGTTTGTATCCGTAGTAGTAGTTAGGGTGGGCTGTACACACTACTGCTTTAATGTTCATTGCCTAGGAATAGGGCCATTTTCAGACCCAATAGCGTAAGGCAATACACAGTTGCACAGCTATTGCCCATATAGTGTATTGTTGTAAATGTCTAGGTATACTTACGATACGGGGTACATAATGGTGTTATTTTCAATACACTTTGTACCGTGCAGTATTGTGCACATGGGCTATTTAGGTGCATACATACGGTAGAGTCTAGACACCTGTTGTACAGCCTGGCCATTTGGTGAACGCGTTCCCGATGCCCACTACCTCCTCCATTGAAAAGACAATTTTCTCCACTAAACTTAGACAATGGAACAAGAAGGTCATTTGGATATACAACAGGGCTTGCCGTCGCAAACTGCGAACGATCTCTTTGACTACGATGTCGGCTTGGATGAGATACTACAGCACACCCCAACCGAGTCTAACATAAATGCACCCAGGCCGTCTACTATACCCGGCGATACCGGTTTAGGTCTTGGACTTGATGAAGAAGTCAAGGTTACTAGAAAACGACAGCCCGTCGCTAAACTAGATGAAACACGGTGAGTTGGGCCACTCGGTTTAAAAATGGCAACCAGAAGTAATCTAACTGCACTCCATTATAAGGTTACTGTCTCAAGCTGGTATACCTAGGCTACGCCGCACAGCCAAACAGAAGTTGAAATTCAAAGGAAAGGGACATGAGGTTTGATACTTATCAGCTCTTGCTGTCATACTTTCAGAGGCTGACATTCTTACTACTAGTTTTCTGACGCGGCCCGCTTATTACAGTTCTATCAGTTGTGGCTTGATGATCTCTTCCCTCGTGCAAAGTTCGCTGATGGACTAACTATTATCGAAAAACTCGGCCATCATAAACGCCTTCAAGCTATGCGCAGAGAATGGATAGAAGGGGAGAAACCAAGAGCCCGCATAGATGATACAACACAAGATTTACAAGCAGATCGATCGAGCCTACCGATTGCGATAACCACTAAAAATCATCATGCTGTGGATGCGCATATATCTTCATCTCATAGCGTTGGCCATAGCAGAGTCGATAAGGAACCGTCGACCGAAGAATCAGATGTTCCTGCTCACGGATTGTTCATGCTTGATGATAGTAATTACCGCGCGATCGCACGAGACGTTCCTGAGGATGGTGACGAATTGGAAACCCTTTTGAGAGAGCAGCAGTGCGATGATGCTACAACTAAGAATCCCTTGGCCTTGGTTGATTTGGTCGCCGACGGCGATGGATTCGAGGCCATGGAAGAATTAAATGTTTTAACTCCGACATGAGCTACGCCGTTCTGTAACCGTTGTCAAGCAATAAACCGCACAAGATCCTAGCGATATTGAAACTCTATCTAGAAATAGCACTGCGTGTCACGGAGGCTGGTAAATTTAATGCGCACAATTCTTAACATGCTACAAGTAACTAGTAAAAGAATATAAAGAATTTGACATTTGACAGTAGTACACAGCTTATTAGACAGGACTTGAAAAAGAGGGTACCAAAGAGTTCGGTTGGGGAGGGAATAGACGAAGATATAGAGAAAAAGTTGGTTGTGCAAGACGCCAAAGCTCCCCAATATCACTATATACTACGTATGACGCAATATGTAGATGTTAAGTTCCTCCCCTGTGTTAGTGGCACAATCGTCTATTTCACACGGCCACTGGCTCAGTGAATACTGAAAACTGTCCACCCGCACCGGCCCAGTTTAGCTTTTTGCCACGAACAGCGGTGTTTTCGACAATGGTTGCCACCTCAATATCATCCGAAGTGCCTTGACCTGTCTGATAGGTAGCGGAGAAGCCCCAAGACCAAGGACGGCCATCAGTATCAATGGCAATTGAATGATCAGATCCAGCTGCCACAGTACTCGCTTTAATTCCTGGAACAGGGGTAGGTTCGATCAGGATCCGGGGTCGCCCACGTTCATCTCTGATAACAGCCTCCTCAGCAAGTGTATCGACTTTCAAACCTGTCTGGAAACCATCTAACCGACCCCATACAAGGCATTGCTCGCCATCAGCAACAGCAATCGAGTGGTGAGCACCACCACAAACTTCACTAATATTTTTCCCTGACAATGAGTCCACAATAGTAGGATGAACAATAGCAGCCTCGTCATCCCCAGCACCCGCCTGAATACCTGTCTCACCAAAACTATTCAGGCCCCAAGCATAAACCTTCCCGGATTGATGGACAGCAAAGGAATGAAAGGCGCCACTCCCAATATGTATAATGTTCTTGGGCAGGCCAAACTCACGTGGTTGGAGGCCGTTCAATCTATTCCGCTCGATAATGCGACGTCCCAACTGGTTCTGTTGACCAGACCCCCAGGAGAAAACAGCGCCCTTCTCATTCAAGGCGAGGGCATGGTTATCGCCGCATACTAGATGTTTTATTTTTTTCAGCGAGGGAATTAGTGTTGGGATCGATTGAACTGTATGAGTACTATCAAATCCCAAAATACCATCGTTACTCTAAGCTTCATGTCAGCTAAGACCTATAGAAATGAGCGAACAACTTACTCTAAACGTGCCCCAGCCGTATACTTGGCCATCATCCGTGAGGGCGAAACTCGAACTATCCCCAGCAGCGACTTCAACGAAGACAGTACTTTCGGGGAAAGTATCAGAAGCAATAGCAGTTGGGATCGACTCGTATGGGTTGAGAGCCGGATCATCATCTGAGTCTGAGTCGGTATCACTCTTATTATCCTCAACCTCCTTGTAGCCTCCATTCCATGTAGTATCCCTTCCCAGCGCACCTTGGTCATTCACGCCCCAGGTAAGGATCTTGTTATCGTGGGTAAGAGCGACGCAGTGCATACCACCAACAGCGACCTGCACTACACCAACCTTATCTGCCGACAGATAAGGATTAAGACGCGGCCGCTTTACATCAACAGCATTCCTTTCCGGTCCAAGACCAAGTTCGCCTGAGCTGCCTTCGCCACAAACGTAAACGTTAAGTCGAGTTGTCGGTGCATGGTTGATCACCACTTTCGGCTTTTGCTTTGTAATACGAGGTTCGATAACGCGTGCCTTTTTGGCTTCACGAATAGGCTCCTCAACAGCTTCAGCTTTACGTTTTGGGGGTGCTGCGCGGGCAGCTTTGGTGGTAGTCTTTGTGCGCGCATCGCCGCCTTTAGACTTGGCTGCACTGGCTTTCGCAGGCCGTTCTTTTGCTGCAGTTTTTGGGGCAGGAGCCTTATTTGTAGTTGTGGTGCTTTTGGATGGCTTCGCAGAAGCCTTGGACGCGCTCTTTTTAGGCGGCATCCTTTGAGTTTAGGTGAGGAAATTAGGTAAATATGTAAGGGGAGGGGAGAATATATAACCAAGGGAATAAGATGGCGAAGGAGGAGGAAATATCTTATTTGGGGGTTGGGGGGGGAGGGGGAGGTAAGGTATACTGGAAAAGTAGAGCTGACACTAAGAAAGATAGAAACGCGACAAGACCCCAAGTTTACTGTTGTTGTTGTTAAGGTAAATAGAAATAATAGAAAAATGCCATCTATGCGCTAAACCCAAGTTGTCGATACTAAATTCCGATGATCGGGAAATATTTTTCTTGGTTTTTCTGAACCACACCACTAATCAGGGATTTGTTCAGTTCTCACTGTGGTTGGCTGTGGGGGTTGACCATTGAGATCCATTAACTTCAAGCTGTACATACTGCGGAGTACACAGTAGTCTGAATATGTTACTATGTACAGTTGGGGAGAGCAGTTCAAAGGTTCAAGCAGGCTGTTTCATTTGACCCTTTTTCGTTCTCGATGAACTAATACCCGTATGTTCTTTGCTCTACTCCATTTTTCCTCCTCTTCTTACCTCTCCTTAGAAGAGAAAAACTTAAGGAATAGTAGAGAGATATGTGTATGCCCGGGTATATGATACGAATACTATTACTTTGCTAGGTATATGTAACTAGCACTTTATCTATGTATTAGTTATAGCTACTTACATATACTTATATTGATATGGTAAGGGCAGTGTTCACATTTAATGATATACTTAGGTGAATTTAGTTTCACTCTGAGTTTAGTAGACTGAATGAAGTTGAGCAATAGTACTCTGTGCTCTATAGGCAATCGTATATATATCTTCTACTTCTTCTTCTTCTTCTTCTTCTTATCTTTGTAGGATATGTTAGATTTTTTAAGTAGTGCAGAGTTCAATGTAATTAAATGATTTTACGGAATTAAAGTATAATTTGTTTCCCTTGCACTATTTTTAAATATAGATGGTAGAACTACTTCCAGTAAATCTTGGCTAGTTTTTAAAACCCACCTTATTGACAGATTGCACCAGGGAAGATAAATCTCTACTTCTATCTTACAAGTTTCATCGTCATTGAGCTATCGGCTATCTGGCAGATAGGATTTTCAGAAGTACAGAACCAAAAATGCCTCCTTTTTCAGATAGACTGCATGTAACTGTCTTTCTCAACCCACACACAAGCAGCACAAGAAGAACATAGATAAAGGATACATAAGACAATGCCTCCATTTAAAGTCCTCAATTACTATACTGTGCCATACCAGACTCCAAGTACCAAATTAAAAGGTAGTTTGAGGTTTACAAGAGCCACGCACGCTAATGCTAAGACATTCTCTATTTCTATACGCCCACTCTACCATTTGTTTCTGCAGTTTCTAGGCCGTGACGACTTTCTACGAGATACATACAGTCAGTCAGTCAGTCTCACGGCTATGCACTAGCTCTTGGATTCCAGCTAGCGAACATCTGAATTAGTGATTTTCAATCGTCTTAACATTTCTCAGTACGGTGCCTAGCATGTACCCCAGCTAGAATTCCTGCTTCTTTGACCTCCAATCTAACCGTCTACACATTGGGGGCTTTTCGAGAAGGAATCTTATATCCCTTAGTATGTACTTATATAGATGTGAGTAGTTCTCGGTGAACTACTAAGTAAGCTATGCAAGCTTGGGGCGTGGATTCATCTGTATATTAATATCAAGTTTCATGGAGGATTATGCATAGCTCATGGGCTCCTACAAACCTATTTGATCACTAGTATCATTGTCACTAACCTCACGAGGTTGAAACCCTATTCCTAACATCTATTTATGTACAAGTGTTCTAGATGTTTAAATGTAGGTAGCCAGTAGTTGGATTAACTCCCAAAGTAGGTCTTTACGTTGGTTCCATGTAGGCATGTCCATACTAGGTGTCACGACCCTGGACTATGAGTATTGGATTCACTAGTCTGGATCACGGATTCTTCCACACATTATAACATTTTGCCCGAGCGGCATCCATTTCACCTCTCTTGGGTTGAGGGCAGCATTGGGCTTTCCCTGTTCATCACGCTTTGAATCCGGACTTACTGGCACCCCACCACTACCCAGATATGTCGGCGCGACAGTTACAATGATAGAGTCAATGAATTCCGTATATTCGGGATTCAACAGCTCGCTCAACACAGTCCCACCACCTTCAATCATCACACTTTTGACCCCCTCCGACGCCAAGCGCGTAGAATGGCTTCCCAGCGCAAACGCCAATTTTGATTATACTCCACAATTCGGAGAAAGTCGCCTCCGTACCCTTTCAGCATCATCAATTTCTGGGGGTGGATTTGGGCCCCTGGCGACACAACCACCCATGGTGCCTTGCCTTTCCCTTCGACCGCTGTCCGCAGCATTCTGCATTCAGGATGAACGGGCCATCGCCCTGTCGGGTCGATTATGACCGGCCGTGGTTGCCACATTCGTCCAAGACCGCCAAATCCTCCTGCACCCTCCAGCCTACAATTCAAGCCCGGGTTATCAGCCAGCACAGTCCCAACACCTATCAAAATAGCATCATGGCGTGACCTTAGGTAATGCGTCATCAGTTTTGCCTCCGGCCCAGAAAGTACTGTCTGCATTCCTGGGAGCAGAGATATTTTGGAGTCCATGGAGGATGCATACGACAAAGTAACATGTGGAAACTGACGTCTCTCGTCGTATCTGGGGAGATAAGGTTCAAGAAAATCTAAAGGAAACTGAGGGAACAAAAGCGTGTCTGGCGGTAGGGGTGAATCCAGATACACCTTTGGTGGCGGTGGATTGGTGGGTGCTTTGCAGCTACCATTTGTAACCTTTATCCTCACAATGCCATGGCCCTTCTGATATTCATACCCATCGTGAGGTATGAGCTTAACTTCCGGGTTTTGTATTCTCCATTTCGCAGAGACGTTGCGAACGTCCGTAATAGTACAGAACTTCCCCCCTGCTTCGATAAGCTTCTCAGGTTCTTCCTGGAACTTCGTATATATAGACGAAGGTAAGTACCCCTTAATGGCCTCCTTGCGGGCAAATTCCATAAGCCCCGAATTTCGCTTTACCTTGTCAATGTAATCCAGGTCGTGCGAGTGTATAGGGCTGCTTCCAGGCGTCCTTGCGATAGTCACGGTTGAATAGGCTCCTTCGAAGCGCACAACTTTAATTTGGAAGTTGCAGATACCACCCTCACGTACCCTCTTTTTCCGAGGACGCTTACCCTCCGGCAGAGGCCGAGTCTCGGACGTACGGTGTGTTGGGCGCCGTAGGCGACACATATAGTAGTCCGTTGTGCAGTGACCTTCTTTACTGGAGTTGGACCTTTGCTTAACCCACACATTATCGATGTATGGCCAATATGTTTCAAATTCCTCGAGGCTAATTTCAATTGGATCTTTGCATTCAAACATTACTTGTCGTATTCTTGCGAGGTTTGGCGGGTTATTTATAAGGTTGTAGTTAGTTGGTGTGCCCGCGTCCTCCGAGTTGTCAGCATTGGTACAGTTGTCATTCGATTCACTTGGTCCAGCTTGTCGCAAAATGGCCTCATTCTCAGCTGCCACAGATTCATGAAGACTTAAAGCAGGGCGGGACCTTGAGCTACCCCCAGAATTTAGTGAGCTTGTTTGACTACCGGGACTGTGCGTTGCGGTGCGGTGAGGATTGCTCGCCTCCATCGTTTTCTCCGATACTGACTCTAGGGTAGGCGTTGCCGGTACCGTAATTTCATTATGTAAAGGATATACATCAGATTCAGAGGATAATGATTTCGTACTCGTGTTTGACACGTCCGAATGGCCATGGCCCATGTCGGGTGCTTAGGAATTGGCTCCTAGTAGTCAAAGACTGTTCTGAAATGTATGTACAAAACCTCGGTTTGGACGGCCCCACATCGGTTGACAATGATCTCACTTCATGATAAATCGATGGTATAGATACATACATCGGTGGTAGGTTTAGGGATTGGAGAAATATGGGTAGACTCGACGTTTCTTCTTAGTTTGCAATTGCCTTGTTCGGCGATTCTCTGTTAAATGTTCGATGTAGGTCTGCATCGCCTAGACCTATCCGCTCAAAGAACCCCTTGGCGCAACCTTTGCGACCCCGGCGCGGAAAAAGTCCGCCCATGGGTTTACCGGTACCCTCCGAGGTACATCCAAGCGGATGCGGGCACCAACACTACATACCTACAATTTGCACATATCAAAGTTCTGATCAATCGGCGCATAGCTTGTACGAGGAATGGTAGTAGTAATTTAGGTAAGTAACATCAAGAATACACTGCATTGCAACTACCTAGTAGAATAGCATTCAATATGCCCCGATTTCTGCGCCAGCACGGGCGAGCGTCTCGTAGACTCTGGGGGGCAATTTATACTTCACCATACCAGAAAAGATCATCAGATCTTTGGCCATTACCAGTAACTCATCCGCTAGGCTTTGTCTGATTTGATTTTCGTATGTCCCAGAGTTTAGTCGTTCTCTTTCATTGCCAATACATGTGATGCTCCACATTACCACATGCCCAATATTGCGAGAGATCATTGTTGGAAAGGACGAGAATGCTTGAGCAGCGCTTCGGATATAGGGTACTGAGCCTCTAGCCCGAAGAGGAAGGATATTCAGGGTGTTGATGGCCTGCAAACAAACACTGTTAGAGACAGAAGCCAAGAGGGAAAGGAAGAAAGTAGAAGAGCATGGCCATCAATTTGTTACGGATGATGATACTTACATCCAGGGCTGGAGTCCATTTTCCTGCTTCAACTTCAGCTTTGGCTTCCATCATTTGAAGCAACAAACCACATGCGTCACGGTTGACAGGGCGGATTCGCTGGTAATACAGGGCATTCATATTGTAAATGCTGATAATGTTTCGTGCCAGAGCCACGGGGTCTTCCACTGCTGTCAAGCTGAGGCTACTACCAGGCTCCCTAAAAGCCTCCTGCTCTGAGGCTTGAGCGTCTTGCCGTTTTGTCCGTGGTTGTAATGGCTGTAGTTTCAAAGAAGGACCGCCCAATTCGACACCTACAGAATCAGATAGTGCTCTGTTGATGATATCAATCACGCGGTCGTAATCTTCAGCAAGATGGTACAAAAGGACGGCATCTGTGATTAAGCCCTTGTCATCGGCTACAGCTGCCGCTTGCACAGTTATTGTTTTCAAAAACTCCTCTTGATCTACCAACTTAATCAAGCCAATCCGTTGTTCAATTAGCCCCATGATTCTGGTTCCATCGGAACGTACATCTCCCAACAACCTGGCGAATTCCCGGGTCTCCAAGATATATTCGCGCAATGCTTCGTGACACACTGAGGCTTGTGACTTGCCCAAGGAGCCTGGAAGGTCAGCGTTAAGGCAAAGCAAGGAGAAGTAATCAATTGCTGCCTCCACCAATCCCGTACGGAATTCCTTCGTGTATTGTATGACGAGATAGCCAAAATTGATTTGTGGATATTGTTTCACAGTGAATGATACTGTTTCTGTTAGCGTATCCATATAAAGTCAAGGCAGATAAAAGCTAAGAATAGTGTTACTTACGAATTTCTTCACCTGAAGCGTAAAAATCAGATACGCGCAGAAGGCCATAGTAGGCCAAAGCAATTGCAAAGTGCACAGCGCTGACTGGAGCGTAAGAACCGAGGTAGGAGACGGCTTGTTCAAACATTCCTCCCAGGATTTGTAGGAGAAAGAAAGTTCCATAGCCGCCAGGTCCCTCTTGGCCCTTCCCGAAAACTCGCTGCCCGATTTCAGCGATATCCGTCTGGATATCCTCCAGCCCAAAAACATCTCCTGCAACCTCTTCAGTACGATCATCTTCTCTAGCTAAGTTGAACTGCAACCACATCCAGTCTTCAACACTTTGGTTTACCCCTTCCAAGCGTCGGCGACTGAGGTCACAGCGTCCGATAATCTTGTAACAAGCCATCCGATAAGGATCAACAGTGTTATCAGGAGCATTGCGTGATCGTTGTTGATATTCACCGTTGATTTTTTGTTGTAGATCCCTTGGTAAACGTCTGTTCTGTGAGTAAGTTGTCATATAAGTTACGAATTTATGATCCAATGACCGGAAGCCAGGATCTTGGCTAACATATTCTGCCGCCTCAGTAATGAATCCACATCGGAGAAGATAGAATATGAGGATCCAGCAATAATCCTGACCAACCATTTGCAGCTCTGTCCCGTCAGGAGCGAGATCCTTCCTCGCCGCTCTAAGTCGGATATAGGCGCGAATTTTATTGATCACAGTTGGTATTCCACCAAGCTGCGCTTCTCGAGGGTTTTTAGCGATCACACTTTCAACCTCGTTATAGAATAGATTCTCGAGAAACGTTCTGGACCCATCCACAATCCTCTTTCTCAAGCTAATAGCACGTCGCGAGCCTGGCGCTTCATCCAGGTAATCTTCGGAAAATTGGCGTTCCTTCAATGCACCCGGATCTGACGTGTTTACAATATTTGGAGTTTCTTGAACAATGCTTATCAGCGCATGGTAAGCGTCAAAGAGTTGCCGGGGAACCTTATGCCGTCAGCTGAGAATAAAACTTCCAATCAAGTCAACTTACATCACCACCAGCATGGCTTTCAACTTCGGAAAATTCGTGGAGGACAGGGAAAGTATCTGCTTGGAGTCTAGCAGAGTTCAGCAATTGAACCTTATCCGCATAACGGCTCATCTTTTCCCGTAAGAAATGCAGATCTGAAGATGGAGTGCCGGATGCCTCATTTCGTTCCATCGGGCCGTCAGAGAATCTATGGTTCGCCGTTCTAGTGCCGGGTACACCAATAACTGACTTTTCCATGCCAGAGCGCCCAAAGACACTCCTATGGGTGACGCCTGGGGCGGTGTAGCTTGATGTGGCACCATATTGTTTTGACTGTCGCACAGAACGGCCGAATGTGCCTCTTCCATCACCGACATTGTCATCCTTCTGTGCCAGACCAAAATGCTGAAAGATTCTTCGACGTTGCTCTTCCCAATCTAGGTCGACCTTTTCCTCCAAGAATATATCGAAATCTTTATGAATACGAGTAAGGCTCTCCGAAATCATTGCATGGCGGCCGCGTTGTTGTATATTGCGCAAAAACTTTTGATTGTCAGGATCAAAAGTCTCCTGTTCTTTTGTAGGGCCTAATACTAAGGCTTGGGGGTCTAAAGCTTTAAGATCCCGCAAAGTATGTCCTGGTGAAACTCCAGATGCAGCAAGGAGATAGTGACTGGTACCGATTAAAAATTAGTATTATTGTAAAGCCATGGAAGGAATATCAAGTCTGATGAATATACGCACGCCTTACTGTCCTGTATATGTTGTGGACCCTTTGCTCCCCCATTACCAAGTTCTCTTGCCTTTCTTCGGATATCATCAAGGCCTAATTGAAGACTGGGTAGCTCTTCGTAATTGCTGCTTCGCCCTATTGTAGAAAGTGGTCGTTTTTTACCACGCTCTAACAAGCTGTTGAAAAAGGCGGGCTGCGTAGATTGATTAGGAGGAAGTGAGGGTTGGGTTATATTAGCCTGGGCCTGGCTATGCTCGAGATTTGAAGATGGGGTAGACTGTTGCTGGGCTTGCGGCTGTGCGCCAAAAAGTGATCCGGTTGATTGACCCTGAGTGAACGTATTCCCTACAACATTTATGGGACTATTTGTTGTGAAGAGGGTCGATGGCTGTGTGGTGGATCCCAGTGCACCCCCTCCAAATAAAGAATTTGAGCTTGTGGATGCCATTGAGCAATGAAAACGGTGGTAAGGGAACGACCTTTAACGATCAGAATAGCGTTGGGTTAGTGAATAAATTCTGATCCATAAGCAAGTGGTACGGAACTATACAAAAGGCAGTGTATGAAAGGTGATGCTCACTTTTTAGTCACAGTAGACAATCTTGGACATTAGACTTGGTAGTTCTGTTGTAGGTCTTCCCTTCGCACTTAATGTTTGTGAGGACCGGTTTCCAAGCTGCCGCGATGTATTTCCAAAACCAGCTTATCCCGGACTTTCTATTTCACCGAATGCTCAGTTCTCAAGTCCACAGTAGCCTGCCTTAGGCTCACCAAGACAGAAAAGCCCTTTTGATAATAACGCATTCTAGGTTTAGTTAAGAGCAGAGTAGTACACCACTTCCTATATTCGTGTTCCTAGACTTCCTTGAATTCTCATATCTCTTTCGGCAATGCCCGTGTTCCAAAGCAAAACGTTTCGTCGTGCAACAACAGCTTCTTCTTCACTCGGGGATCGGATCGGCGAGACCTACCGCGCTAGATTGCCCAAGCATCCGTTTCTTCTCTTTGGATTTCCCTTTGTTATGATAATAGTTGCGGGGTCATTTGCTTTGACCCCTGCTGCTGCCCTGAGATATGAACGGTACGATCGCAAGGTGCAGCAATTAAGCCAAGAGGAAGCAATGAATTTAGGACTGAGAGGGCCGGACGGGGAAGAGGGAATCAGAAGGAACCCTCGGAGGCGGATAATTGGAGATGAGAGGGAAGAGTACTATGTATGTTTAACTATATAACTCATCGTTGAAGGGCACATCGTTAACGAATTTCTACAGCGGCTCATGGCGAAAGATTTGGACAACTGGGAGCAGAAAAGAGTACAAAGATTTAAGGGTGAACCTGATGGGAAACTGTGAACTACTTAAGTACTATCATACCACAATTTCTGCATCCTGCTTATCTCGCCTGTTGGCTGTTTCAGAGTTTATTCATTACAAGAGCTCTGCAGCTGATCAGTTTGCGTCTTTTTCCATATAGATACCTTCCCCCTTCCACTTGTACTTGAACTTGCCGAACAGCCTTTGTGAACCAAACTGCTGAGTATGTACACACAACTGTTTGGAATCCACTCATTTGGTGATTTTCATTTATAGGAAGCCTTCCACTTCTGTTAGAGAAACCCCCTGTCAGTAGCCTCGGTGGTACCGTAAGAAGCTCTGTATGAATAGGTTTGAGAGGTCCTCCGCCATTTACCCGCATCATTACTTGAAAATGGAAGCCCCCACCATATGTAGCTACGTACCTAGTCTTGCTCCGCGCGGTGCAAGCGATCATAACCAAATAATCAAACAGGGAACCTACTTGGTTAAATTGCCTTGAAGATATTTCCTTTGTCCCTCTTGTCTTTCCCCACCCCTGAAGCCGAGATGAACAAACGACAATAGCCACAAGCATCACTGCTGTGGTGAACTTATTTCCAAAGCGATACATATCGTAGGTACCTACAATACTGTACTCTATACCCTATACATAACGAAAACAGCCCATTTTTATTGTATGAACCTCCTTTTCCTTCTTTAGGCAACTTTCTCTAAACGTGGCACTATTAAAACCACGAACATTTTCAGCTTTATTTATCATCCGCCGCGTGATTTAGTTATGTGGAACAAACGGACAGTCAAAACCAAACCACTAGATGGTTGGTATGGGCTCTGTTGATGTTTGTACTGCAGCAGCCTCAGCAACGGAGTATGTCTCAGTACGCTAAAGGATGTAAAAGGATCACCCTTAACTTGCAACTAACGCATTCGGTAAGCAGTCCGGTCACCTCTGCATTCCATGTAAAATGGCATATTTTTGAATATCAATATCTCAACAACTCTATATTTTACATATCTATTAATTTGTTACAGTATTTATGTAGATAGTCTCTATATATATCTCAAATATTAGTAGAAATAAAATCTTAGAAAGATAAATTACAGCTATATACAAAAGATACTATATATTACAGTATAATTTATTTTATTCTGGTAATAAAATATTGTTGGCATCTATAAATTTGATAACTTATTATTGTAGTATAGATTAAACTATATATAAAGTTACAAATAGATAGAATATAAGTTTGTTGAGATATCGATATTCAAAAATATGCTATTTTATATGGAATACAGAGGTGACCGGACTGCTTGCATGACCGGACTGCTTACCGAATACGTTATGCATTGTGGAAAACAATAACGTCAGCTACGATCGACGCTAACTACATAATGGTACGATTTAAAAATCAGGAAATATATGGGTATCTACGCTATACTCTTCGTTATATATTGGTTGCTATTACTAGTCAAATAACAGGGGACTGTGATGAATTATCCATATTAAGGGAGCATGAAAAACAGTTAGTAAGGTTGCCACCGCGCTTTCTTCGTCAGGTTCCTTGATGGGGAGATCCAGACCGGCCTCCTGCCTCGTAAGTTTTGGCTTTTCTGCACACTTTCGCCGCTTCCCGGCCCCATGGGCCATATACGTCATACCCAAAGAACGTCTTAGTTCCTTCAATTTTCTTCACCATTCATTCGCCCTACGTGATATTTCTCGCTTATTGACCCGTTTCCCCCTTCGTGCTCAATGATGGTAGTGGATCAGTGATTGGTATCAACCAAACCCCTCCTCCCCCCACTTTTTCTTTCTAGGCCTTCGATTGGCTCAGGAACTCTGCCTGAAGTTGAGTGTGCAATCATTTTTTTTGGGCCCCTTATGTGAGACGCGAGCCACGACCGCTGCTGTGGCCAGAACTTCATCCACCTCCAGTACCCAATTTTGTCGCCTTGGGTTCGAGGTAGACTGCTAAGCCCCGGAAAACCTAACTTATCTTTTACCGTACTGATGGGTTTTATTCACTTGTGACTCGACTTTTTGCAGGATCGCCTGCCTTATCCAACGTTTGTCCCCCATCAATCCCCGTTTAAGACTTGGTGGACCATCGAGAATACCAGCTATTGCGCATAGACTGGCTGTGCAATTTAGCGTGCTCTTACTGCCAAACATCAACGGTATTCGGCTACGGTGCCAGTTAAATGCGATAGCACTTGGGGTGCTAAGGTGCATTCCTTATAGGCTGATTAGTTCGGTTGGAGAAGTCCCCAGGAAAGTACTCGGCTCCTGGTCGTTTCCATCTGGAAATTCGAGTTATCTCGAGATGGCAAGCGGGCTTTTCAACTAATTTGAGCACCCGAGCGTTATTGAAAAAGCAAGGAAAAGAACGTTGTGTTGTGTATGTGAAGGAAATATGTCTGCTATGACGGGTCCGAGATCACCTACTTCGCCGTGGCCTCAGGAGCCACCAAACCTACAAATCACAGGTCACCCTACCTCAGCAGCAATTTTTTCGTTGTGTGACTCTCACCAGTCTCCGCTCAACTCCAACCTTAGTCCTCGCAATACAGTCCCAGAACGTTCGGGTCCTAATTATTTCTCTATCAGCGTGGAGAGTTCCACCAGTCCTAGAAAGACTGGTGATACGCTCTCTTATGCCCAGTCTTCAATTCCTAGCCCAAAACCACACTTATTACCTACGAAGACTGTGCTCGATGAGTATGCGAATCACACAGAAGCTGGCTCAACCGTTCACGAACGTAGGGCGTCTGCGATCTACAGACGTTCTTTAAGTCGTGTCTTGCCGAAAAAGGATTTTATTTCTGACCAACCTGATACCTCTACGAATACTACGTCTGGAAATGGACGTGCCGTTGCAGTTGAACGCTGTGCTGAGTTACTTGAATCCTCACCCAATGATGTCATGCTGTTAGATGTGCGGCCATATGCGCATTTTGCGAAAGGGAGCATCAAGGGATCGTTGAATCTTTGCATACCGACGACTTTATTGAAGCGTCCTTCGTTTGATACACAAAAGTTGGCAAATACTTTCACAAATCACGTGGACAGGATGAGCTTTGCGAGGTGGAAACATTGTCGTTATATTATCGTCTATGATGCAGGGACTTCTGACATGAAGGATGCAGGGCCTTTAGCCAATGTGCTGAAAAAGTTCACGGCCGAAGGATGGGATGGGGATGGGCTAATCCTTAGGGGTGGGTTCGACTCATTTTCAAACCGATTTCCTTCTCTCTTGCAACAGCAACGTTCGCCTGCAAAACTGTTAAAAAAACCAACTTCAATGCACATAGACCTACCATCTGTTGCCCCGATTGCTGGGGGTTGTGCTTTGCCTGATTCCTCACGTCCTACGATCCCCTTTTTTGGGAACATCCGGCAGCACATGGATCTTCTTGGTGGTGTCGGTCAAATTCCTCTCCAGTTGCCCGAGAACCTGACAGAATCGTTGAGGCAGTCACTACCACCTTGGCTGCGGGAGGCGACAGATCCAGCAGACCAAGGCCGTAGCGTTTCACAGAAATTTCTAGAACTCGAGAAGAAAGAATTAGAACGCATGAAACAGGCACTGACTTATGACAAGTCTTCCGATACTTCAGCAGCCAATACTTTCCCGGAGAAATTCCGTGTCGCAGGTATCGAGAAAGGCACAAAAAACAGATACAACGACATTTATCCTTTTGATCACTCTCGGGTGAAGCTGCAGGATGTGCCGCCTGGGGGGTGTGATTACGTAAATGCAAACTTCATGAAAGCAGAGTATGGCAATAAGTGCTACATAGCTACTCAAGCCCCTGTCCCTGATACATTTACTGTAAGTTCTATCGATTCCTCAGCATCTGGTTCTCCCTAAACTCGTTCTCTGCAAACCCTTCTATCAGCCCTGATACTAGTTTGGCTTACGAGGTCTCCAGGATTTCTGGCGTGTAATTTGGGAACAAGATGTCAGGCTCGTCGTTACGTTGACTGCAGAGTTCGAAAGAGGCCAGATTAAATGTCACCCATATTGGGAGTCTGGAAAATACGGGCCTCTTCAGGTCAACAACTTCTCCCAGAAACACCTCGATATAGATTCTCCACACTCGCAGCAAGCCGGTCCTTCATTAAAAACAAGCGAGGATTTCGGTAAACCTTATATCATAGTTCGGCATTTTGGGTTGTCGCATTCGGCTTTTCCATTTCAGCCCCTACGTGAAGTGACGCAGTTGCAATATCCATGCTGGCCAGATTTTGGCACCACCTCACAACCTGCCCATCTACTTAAGCTGATTGAACAGTGTGATAAAGTCAGAGATGCATCTCCTAGCCGTGACGTAGGGGCAGCTGAGCGGAGGCCAGTGTTGGTCCACTGCAGTGCGGGGTGTGGCCGTACGGGGACCTTCTGTACTGTTGATAGTGTGCTGGACATGCTAAAGCGAAGGCCCGCAGAAGATACAGCACACTCACGGAGCTCACAAATGATTGATCATTTCTACCACGACTCCTACGATGGAAAACTGGATCTCATTGCCAAAACTGTAGCTGAGTTTCGCACACAAAGACCTAGCATGGTCCAGAACTTGAGTCAGTTCGTCCTGTGCTACGAGAGCGTTTTGGAGTGGTTCGTTTCTCGGATGGAAAATAAACGCTTGGGATAGTACTAGTAATAGAGCTTGTCACCTCAAGAGTCAGACCTTTGACTCGTCAGGCACAGTCTTGTTGGTTATGCCTGTTGTTCAGCATCTACACTTGTCTGGTCTCTCTTCATATATGACCTGTATTAGACGCATTCCTATGTGTTTGGCAGAGCACTTCGTCTTGACTTACCTTTCTACTTATTTCTTTAGGGATCAGACCTCGTTTGGTCTATCCTGGAATTAGCTGAATTAGCCATTTACTTGTATCTCTCTGGTGATGGGGGATTTATGGTCTCTTGTGACAGTGTACGTCGGAGACAGACGGCGGCCCACTCTTCTAAGTTGAAACTAGAGGTTTCTATGAGGTGGGATAGTATGACAACGAAGGGTACATAATTTAGGAACTGATTTTAGAGCATGGAATCTGTTCTTTTGTACCATGTTGATATAAATAAGTTGTAGTTAAGGAGAAGCCCAGGAGCAAATTTAATACTTCGCCTCCGAAGTTGAAAAGCCAAAGATCCGTAATCAAAATATATGCAAACTGGGTGCTGAGAGTTCAAGCTGGGCTTTTGTATCCACGAGGAGGTGGTATGGATCCGGATATATCCAGGCATCATTAACTTTTGGATGGCTGTCTCACCTCGTTCATCATCACTGGATGCTCAGGCAACCATATCTGACGGTCGGCGACTGCCTGCCAACTTCCAACCCGATAAATCCCCACTCGATCCGGCTCTCATCCGTGCTGATAATGAAACATAACTTTATTTCTAGGTGGCATATTAGTCTGCTTTCACTGGATGGTCTAACATATCTGCATCTTTAGAATCCTTAGGTGCTCGTATAATTTCAAGTGCCGGATTCCACCAGCAAGCTTCAAGTGGCGATATTCTTCTGCTTGTTCTTTCATCATCAATTACTTGAGGTCTTCTGAACGAATCATTGTAGCCGGTGCCATGCTCCTACAACTCCCCACAGAACTGATACAACTTGTTCTTCAATACTCAACCACGCCAGCCTTCCTGCAGGCAGCTTTCGCTTGTCGCACTCTCTATGCCATTGCCTCTAACTGCCGGGAGATTCTATTCCATCACCTGTGCCAAACACCTGGGCTGAATGAGGATCTTCTACCTACTGAGTCAACGCAACTATTCCGGGTACTTCAAAGGCGCGCGTCCCAGCAACTGTATGGTGCACAGTTCACCGCAGGTTGCACTCATTTCCACTTTGGGTCATTGGTCCTTGATGTCAAAGCATCATCACTAGCCCCCTCAGAACACCAGACCTTTGCGCTTGTCTACAAAGGCCACGAGGACATTCGGCTTTTTCGCACCGAGAATGGCCAGCTTCAACTTAAAGCTTGCTTAAAACCACACCGGCTTCAGCCAGGAATAGTCGAGGTTCTAAAGACAGCCTTTGATGCAGATGATGGCCTCTATGTCCTACAACGCTTTACACCTACGGTTGAAGAAAGTACAGACTCAGAGCACCCATTCATTAAACAAGCATCTAAATCCTATATCGGGGGGCAGATCTATCTCATTCGCTATTCCCTCCAGTCTCGCCAGGATCCTGTTCGCGTATGTACATTCCCGGACCATGCTGAGTATGAGCCTCTGGCTCTTGCCGCTGCCCATCGAGATACCTTTGCAATCTCCTGGCAGCATTCCCGCGAAAGTGAAAACTATGAAGTAGTGCTTTATAATGCACAGAGCACATCTAGCGTCCACAGCCTGCCAAGTGCAATAGGTTCGTTTCCCAGTTCTGCTGCTAACAAATATGGAGATAGATTTTGACCAAGTTACAGATCTTGCCTATGATTCTTGTGTGCTTGTAGACTGGACCAAACAGCATCACAATGATGGCATACACCTCCATGCAAGGCTGACCGGTCCCCGTTTTAACTGCCAGAAAGGACCCGTTATAGACCTTGCATTCAACGATAGATCAACCCAAATACTCTATTACCACCGAGCCCAAACTTTATATGGGTCATTCCAAAGGATCAATATGACTTCTTTCCCGGTCCAGCCTACATTATATGAGAACTCATCACTAGTGCAGTTCTCGGGTTCCTTGAGTCTTCTCTTCTCAATCGCCATTCCTTTTTATGGAACACATGCAACGAGAGTGGAGGGAAACGGCCATTCCAGATGTCACTGGAAATACCTTGCCTTCGGAATAGCGACTCATCGCACGGAAGATTGGACTGTCGCATGTTTGTTGAAATCCGAAGCGGTCTGCTCCTCTGAACATTGTGGGCATGTTCTGAACCTTGAACGCGGGCGACGCTTTTTTGACTGGACAGTAGTTGCACGACTTTGGGGGTTTCAGGATTCGAATAATTCCCTCGGGTGTAGAGTTGCTACTTCGAAACATGGCACACGGATTGCTGTCGCTAACTGGAATGTTTTGTACATCTGGGCATTGCAACCCAATGCACTCATCGAACAAAATTCCAACGGGTATTACCCGCCCTTGCTGCAGTCCCCAGACTCGGGAATGGTCGAACTGCGGCCGATCGTTATCCCACTAGACGCGGTCTGCTTCAAATTATGTTTTACAGATGTGGAGGATGAATTGTTGGCTATCACAGACCGAGGGTTGATGTTCTGGGATCTTGGCCCGTTAGGAAGAGGCCAACGAATAACTAAAGAGCTTCCGGCTTAGATGAGTGACTTGGAGTGACTCAAGCACGATAGGGTTGTGAGAACGCATAACACGGCTTTTGAGGTTCTTAGATAATATGCTATGGTATGTACCTGATCTCATATTTCTAACTTGATTGGGTTATGCTATCGACGAGCAAGGAGCTCAACTGTTAGGTGCGATATCATCGAATATATTCATTAGGGGTAAAAAGAAGTTCTATAATATGTCTCTGAGATAATACAACTGCCGCACACCCTGATGCAATGTACTTGGCAATCAGCTTTATTCAAGAAGTAGAAAGATACCGAACTTTCGGCGCCTACTAAACACCATAGCACTTCCGCATAATAATAGAAGGGCCGCCATAGCTACGGTGTATATCATCCCTTTACAAAGTAGACTTTCAACATATAAGCGTCCCAGGTGAAGGAAGCGATATTGAGATGCATGATCCTCAAGAAAGTCCATCGCTTGCGCACAAGAGGCTACTTAAAATCAATTCATGGCATTTCCATCTTCGCTTTTCTCCCAGTACTGATTAATGACTCTCAAAATAGCAGCAAAGTCTGTTACAGTATAGGGCAATGAATTAAGGGGACCGCTTTGAGAAACTCGAGTTTCCGAAATAGATTTTAGTCTTAGTCAACTTACCACTCGGAGTTTAAGACCATGTAGATCTCTAATAGAAACAGTACGCGTGTCGACGATTGCACGTGGGTGTGTCTTAGGACCTTCCGTGACATTCTCTGATTTGCTTTGACAATTTTGGTCTGATCATTCCCACTCTCCTATCTCTTGCTGGAAAGTTCTCAGGACAAATAATGGCGATTATGAGTGGATAGTGAGGAAGGACCGGGCCAAAAAAATTATTGTTCTTCTCCGCTACCAGACATAGCCAGAAATGTGATGATGAGGAAAACCCACCAATACCTGGTAGGATGCAAGATATGTCAGCCTATTCTAGACAGGAGGGTGAATCTAAGATATACACCGCGCTTACTTTTGGAAGAATGTTTTCTCAACGACATCTTCAGGGATTGTGCCATCTGGAGTGACAACAACAGGGCGATTAAGATGCGGTCGGGGTCCAGCTTCGAGGGGGATAAGTTTCATAATAGGGCTTGTTGTGTTTGATGCAGTGGTAGACTCGAGCAGTGATAATGTTAGAGCCACGAAGTAGACTTTATTAGAAGAATCGAGATAAAGCTGAAGCATTGGCCTTTGACCATCACTTCCTGCGATGGCAGACCAAGACGTGAGAGTCCCGGTCCATTGCTTCGGGTCGATCCCGTTGGATGTATATAGGCCGACACGCACTAGGCTTGATGACTCAGTTTGCACCGTGATTGGAGGTGAGTAGGATATCACGTTGGACTCTAAAGAGTTTGGATCGTAGGAGACGCGGGCGAAGACCGAAGGTTCAGAGGATGTTATGGGCCAATAGAAAATATCTGTTGAGATGCGTTGAGAAGAGTCTGGAGTAGTAGCCTGAGCGTATGAGTTGATGGTGGAAAGTACCGAGAATACGACGGTAAATAAGCGCATGTTGAGGAGATCAATGGTAGCAGGAGGCGGAAGTAGAGGAGGTTGTGCAAGCGGTTGAAGTACTAGTATGTATGTACTATGTATCTCTTCGGTGTAATCTGACCGGAGCCTGAATACAGAGAGAAGGGAAAATCCAATACATGTACTGTATATACAATACAAACAGTGCAGTACTATACATACTATGATACCAATTTTAAGAGGATACATACCGTATTGTATGTACAGAACATAGGTATATTCTACTACTCTATCCCGCTTTTCTCTACTAAGAGTACTCTCCGCGTTTGCAATTAGACCCAACCAAGTCCGTCATTAAGGAGAATTTTTCACTCTCCGTATCCATACTACAATTGTCCTATACATACAGCACATACTCCAGGTATATATTAGAGATATCCGGTCGGAGACGATATCGAGTTGCCCTGTTGTAATTCAAAGCGATTCGGAGCTTCATTGTCTCTATTGTTCTGGTTCTCCACATCAAGTTGGTCTGGAGGCGTGGTTCATTCCCCACACTGTGCGCTTGGTTGTATTCTTGGGATGATCCCCAGTATACTCCAGGTATGCTGTCATACTACTCCGTACTCAGTAGCTAGGTACAGCATCCCTCGTTTAAGCTTCCTCGATCTTTCACAACTTTCTTTATTTCGCTCCCACCCCCCTCCTCCAAACACACTGACATATATATCAAAACTAACCACAAACCCAAAGGAAGAAAAAGGTGCCCTCCCCCCCAAAAAAGAAGTGAAAACAAAGTAAAGCAAAATAAAGCAAAGAAAGGCTGCCAGAACTACTTTTCTCCTCTATATCTTTCCTAGTTTCACTCCCTGAAATACCACTTTCTTTCCAGGAAAAGAAAAAGGTAGAAAGAAGCTTTGCCTGGTGAGCCCAACAAGCCTCTACCACCTGATTCATCTGACACCTCCGATTAGGGACTTACTTTCGCCTTTGCCTCCTACTCAATATTTTTCTTTTATTTACCGTCATTTGCTTCTCACCATGTCCTCCATAGCCCCTCCGATGCCTTACCGCCGGCCATCGCGACAGGGCTCTAGACAAGCATCTAGAGATAGCCGAGACGACATTCACTTTCACATAGACCATTACATCGGTATCGATGTTGGGACCGGCAGTGCCCGGGCTTGTATCATCGACAGTAAAGGGGATATTGTTGGTTTGGCATCGGAGAATATTGGCCTTTGGCAACCACAACAGGGATACTATGTCAGCTTTTTCCCCTTCTTACTTGATCTTTATTGATTGTCTCTGTCTCCCTACCCCCTTGCCTTTTCATTTCTGTTTCCACACGCCTTGTACTATTGATGCTGAACTTTTGACTGATGATGTTCGTTAGGAGCAATCTACAAATGATATATGGCGGTGTATATGTGTGGCTGTCCAACGTGCCATTAGCCAGCACAACATCGATCCAGAAACCGTACGAGGGATTGGTTTTGATGCAACATGTTCGTTGTCGGTTTTTTCCAACGTTACCGACGAGCCTATATCTGTCACGGGACCCAATTTCGATTCGGATCGCAATGTCATCCTTTGGCTAGATCATCGCCCTGTAGAGGAGACGGAAAAGGTCAACGCTACCAGCCATAACTTGCTTCGTTACGTTGGTGGGAAAATGTCCATTGAAATGGAGATTCCCAAGGTCCTGTGGCTGAAAAATCACATGCCCAAAGAACTGTTCAAGCAGTGTAAGTTCTATGATCTGGCCGATGCACTGACCCACATCGCAACTGGAAACGAGAAGAGAAGCTTCTGTAGCGTTGTTTGTAAGCAAGGCTACGTCCCTGTCGGTGTGGACGGAAGTGTCAAAGGTTGGCAAGAAGATTTCTTGGCCGAAATAGGCCTTGGGGACCTCACTCAAGAAAGCTTTAAGAGGATGGGGGGCGTTGATGGGGTGGTGAGCCTTTTTCTTTACTTCAGGTTTCTGCTGGATCATGTTTTTTTTAATATTGTTGACCGCTGACTGCTCCAGAACGGCGATTACCTAAGTGCTGGAGAGCTAGCTGGAACCCTTTGCGAAAAAGCGGCCTCTGAACTGGGATTACCTTCTGGTATTGCTATAGGAAGTGGAGTCATCGACGCTTATGCAGGCTGGGTTGGTACTGTTGGTGCCAAAGTCGACCTAGGATCTGAGCAGCTAAGCTCAGATGTCGCCAAGAACGATAAGACGCAAGCATTTTCTCGTTTAGCAGCTGTTGCCGGTACCTCGACCTGCCATCTTGCAATGTCCCCCAACCCCGTATTTGTCCCTGGTGTTTGGGGCCCCTATCGAGACACTATTCAACCAGGGTATTGGATGGCTGAAGGCGGGCAGTCCGCAACTGGAGAGCTCCTTAAATACGTTATTGAGACCCACCCAGCCTTCAATCAGGCGGTCTCGATCGCTGAATCGTACAATGCCAATATATACGAATACTTGAACGAACACTTGAAGGAAATGGCGCATGAACAGCAAGCCCCAAATGTGGCTTATCTGGCACGCCACTTTTTCTTCTACGGTGATCTATGGGGTAACCGCTCTCCGATTGCAGACTCAGGAATGGCTGGCTCCGTTATTGGCCTTACAAGTAATAAGTCTGTGGATGGGCTCGCTATCCATTATTATGCCACGCTCGAGTTTATCGCGTTGCAGACACGACACATTGTTGAGACCATGAACAAGGCTGGTCATAGCCTCACTTCCATCTTCATGTCGGGATCTCAGTGTCAGAATGAGATCTTGGTTGGCCTCATCGCATCCGCCTGCGGCATGCCTGTCCTTATTCCGCGGTACATTCACGCTGCCGTCTGCCATGGTGCAGCCATGTTGGGTGCTAAGGCTGCCAGTGCAGATGCTGACGGCAAAACAGAAGATCTATGGGAGATAATGGATCGGATGAGTAAGCCAGGGAAGAAGGTAGTCCCGACAGACAATGCGACAGAGAAGGCTTTGCTTGATGTCAAATACAAAGTATTCCTGGAGCAATGTTATAAACAGCAAGAGTATCGGGCTCTTGTTGACAACGCTGTGAGCTCATGGAAGTCTTAGAGACTTGAATATGATTTTATTCAGTTATATGGCGACTTGTGTTGCCTTTATTACCCCTCCTGGTAACTTTTGGAAACGACTGCTTAATCCAATTTCTCCCAAAGTGTCCTCAGTTCCTCCAAGTGGCTTATTGCATTGTTAGATTAATGAACATGAATGGGGTATGGTTATAGATGTAGCTATTTCGGTTATAGGTACAAATCAAGGCTCGTTGAAATCAACCCTCGAGTTGCTTTACATAGGTAAATGCCTACAGGTCTAATAAAGTAGTTGACTAGAATGGGTATTTTGATATCTGAGAATTAATTTCTGCGAACACAGGACATCTATGTTGAAAGTAAATACTTTACAAAACCCAAGCGCCAAGTTTCAATGAAACAGATACCTGCAGCCCTCAGTGCCCTGCGAAACAGCGCATTTATTCACTCAAAGGATCTGCAATCAATAGGCTATGCCAGTCCTTGACCTACCGAGAGTGTGAAATGTTTGGGATGTGCCAAGCGCCAATGTGTCGAGGCGATCGACACCCATAACATCCATGTTACTGTAGCCAGACAAGTAAAAGCCAATCACAACGACAAGGTATGTGAGGACAAGGATAGACCCTTTGAAGTAGTTGCTCTTTCCTTCACCGTAGACATACGATAGAAGAAAGACACAAAGTATTACTGAAACCATGTCCCATTGTGGGAAAATAAGGCTAAAGCAATTAAATTTCCGGTTAGACTTCTTGATCGTTTCCTAGTAGTTTCAAGGATAGAGTTAAACATACTTGAAGGTGTGAGTTAGGAGTTCTGTCGGATCAATTAAGCGTTCATAAATAGCGCTGAATAGTACTAGGGCTGGAATCTGCAGAAGGCAAACCTGTAGGGCGTAGGCTGAACCGATCTCCATCGACAAGGCTATGTTGCCATTCATGGCGAAAGAGATAGCATTCTATGATATTGAAAGTGAGCCATCGCATTTACTGAGTTTGGGGTTGACCGATAAGACATACCAAGAACTCCGTCGTGTTGGGGACTAGAGCAAATAGTGTGATTCCAAGGAACTTTTCATCAATGTCAACACTCTCCAGCACCACATCTACGGTGTTCACAAGAATTTCAGCGATGATTGCATAGAAAACGGTGGCTCCTAGAAGAATGATTGAGCTTCTAGCCTTGCTCCAGTTTGGGGCATCATGCCCGCCACTGGTTTGGCCGTGCTCGAGTCCAATATCATCAAGCTCCTCTACTACCGCCTTGATTGGGTCAGTGGATCCTCTGTTACCGTGGCGTGCCGGGGTCTGTTGAATGGATAATTTTCGGGTTCGAGCTGCATCGCGGGCAGCAACTGCTGCAGCAGTTGCTGCAACTTCTGTTACCTGGCGCATCAGATGTTCATTCTCCTCACCCGACAAACCCCCAAAACGGCCAAAACCTGAGTAGTCCCCATCACCCTCCCCATGCGGAGGGACAAGATAGGGCGTGCTCGTATCACGCATCGAGCTTGACTCCGGCTGCTCTGCGCCGGACTCGATTGAATTTTCGGACAAGCCGATGTGCTTCAGGGATTGTCCTAGAATACGTTTGTACAATTGAGAATCTCTAACGGACCCCTTTGGGCCTGCACCAACGTTTGCACCAGCAGCCACTGGTGGTCCACTATGGAGGAGGTGCCTTGGCTCGTAAGGACCGTGCTCCTGGACGGCAGCCGCGGCTTTCTTCTCCTCAAGCTCTGTAGCCCATATGAGGGCAGCATGGGTTCGAAGCGTAAACCATAAACCGATAATATACGATAGAAACAGAAATAAAGCCGCAAACCATGAATAGGGCTTTACAGCCTTTCGAAAGAAGCTATCATTGACAGCAGGGACCTGGGAGAAGTAACAACGACGGCAATCACTACCGCTCGCATCTATAGCGTTGAAGCAGGAGCGGCAGTTTAATTCATGCTGAATGCCAAATGAGAAACAATATCCAAGTGAGAGAGTTGGGCGAGAACTTACGCTGCCATAAATCTGATAGAACAGTGTCGGCCCAAAGGCAGCAATCACGGCGAACATCAGCATTGTAGAGGTAACACCGGCGGATTTAACATTAAACCTCTGTGTTTTACGCTTGATAGCCCCAAAGCACATAGATAATCCAGGGAGAAACAGGATGCCTGCGAAGATACTACCTATGATACTACCTTCAACAAGCCGGCCTTTACCCTCGGTTAAAGCAACACAGTATAGGTAGACTTCGACCACCGTTGAAAAGAAAGCGTTAACAGCAGCACCCATGCCCATTGAGGACTGTGCGGAGATCGAAGCAACAGCCTGTCCAATGAAATAAGCCAAGGGGATGATGGAAACAAGGGCTAAGGTGAAAATCAAGCCCGGGTGAGTCAAGGAGTTTTGAACACCTAGAGTTTTTTCCAAAAGGAAGTAGTCAAAAATCACAAACAGTACCACACCGAGGAGATTGATCAAAAAGATGTTGGTACCGCCAACCGTGTATTTCCAGTATCTTAATCCGGCGGCACGATAGGTGCATAAAAGAATAGATGAAGAGGAGTTTGGGATCAGCCGTGTATATGAGGTATCGGAATGGTATGACAGAGCGAGGGGATGACGACGAAGATGATCAAATAATATGATCGTCACGCGTCCCATTGGAATCCAGAAGACCAGCAGCCAGCAGAGGAGAGATACCAATAACATCAAAGGTCCCACCAGGAAATAAAAAAAGACAAAGAACACGACACGACCAAGAGTCCACTCGCCGCGGCCAAACAAACGTCGTTTATGGTGGCCCAGAGGACTATCGTGTGAACTGGCTCTTTGCGTCCGTCCCAGCAAACTATCTTGCTCACTGGCCGAATCAATGCTATTCCTTCTTCTGCCCACGAGGGATCGGCCGCGGCGAGGGCCAAAGAATAGTCTTCCATGTTCTAGGTCACCGTTTTGCCATTGCTCATACTCGCTAATGCTGCGGCCTTCGCCTTCATCTTCCTCTGCGTAATTTTCATCCGTGTCAAGACGAACAAATGATCCGAACGGGTATATCAGATACCAAGAGAGGCCGGAGAAGACCTTCCCATATTCCACAGCACTTGGAGAGTACGCGAAGATGAAGCAGGCGACGGAACCGATAAGCGCAGCCAGAGCAAGCCACCACCCGAAGAATACGGTCCACAATAAATTTGTTAGGAACAGCATTGTTCCCACTCGACCGCCAGGCGACGAATGAATATCACCTTCAGCGGTCTTCTCTACTGAACGACTCTTCTTGTACAGGGCAGGTTTCCATAGCCTTATTCCAAAAGGATGCGTTTCATTAATAGCCTGCTGCCGATCCTTTAATGTAAAACTTTCCGCATCGCTGACGTCCTCGTCGTTATTATCGTTACCATTTTGGCTTCCACCCTCAGAGTGTTGAGAAGAAGTGCCATTTCCGGCTCCTTCCAAGCTAGATACTGGTGGAATAATATTTTCATTTTCATTGTCCTTAGGATCTGCTCGTGTCAGAGGACTGATGCGAGCATTGATTCTTCGCCTGAGGCTCGAGCTTTGCTTTCGCAAGGGGCGTATCCTCGGTGAATTTTGAGGATTCGTAGCATGTTGCTTAGCGATGTCTTCCTCAACTTCTTGAACATCATCGTCAGTAGAGAACTCCTGACCTTTATGGGGTATCGTCCGCTTAGAAGACATGCGACGCGTGACGGATGGTTTCCTTGGTTTATCAGATTGGGTTACCGTTGAGGGTGATTGAGACGGAGGCATGCGGTTTGAACTCTCTGGTCGACTTTCATCCGGGCGTGAATCAAGTTCCACCCTTTCTGATGGTTCTAAAGTACCTACAAGAAATACGTAAGTGATCTAGATTAGTAGCCCCAGCGACCAATACTAGAACGCACCATAGGTTCTTCGTTCTTGTCCCGTAACCTTTGACTGGCGGACGGTTCCAGAGACCATATTTTCATTGCTTAGATTCGACGGCAACCGCACGGACGTTTCTGGTTGAAACGAAGGGGAAGGGTTGCCCTCTCCTCCTTGGTTTCCAGACATAGTGTCGTCTATTTACCTTTATTCTTTCATAAGGGTGTTGATCTCGTGAAGTTTATCAGGTGTGATATTTAGGAGGCTGGGGGAAACGGAAGGGCAGGAGCCTGCTAGAAGAAGGCTAGGGAATAAAAAGAGAGAGAGAAAAAAAAAAAGAGACAGAGGGAGGGGGAGGGAGGAAGGAAGGCAAGGAAAAACAGTTCACCAATACAGATTCCTGGAGAGAACGGGAGAAAGATTCTGGGGGAAGGAAAAAAGGAGTCGACCAAGTGTCCTGCACACAATACTATACTGTGTCCGTTGGGAAACCAGTTTACATGTTGCAATCAGTGCGGAAAATGGGTTTGGAGGTAGGCTACCACCGGACGGAACCTGCACAAAGATAAATGGGCGTTAGAGGGAAGCTCTATGAAGCTAGTTTGATCATGAGATAAGACAAGAATTCTGAGTCTTACACCCGAAAGTCAGCTGAGACCAACATGTAGGTCTCAGACCTCGTCTAAGTGGTGAAGAGCAGGCGAACGATTCTAATTGATCATTCCATAAATGTGCAATTGTTAAGATGCGCTTTAACAGTCCAGGAGGAGCCCCTATACTTTCAGGTTTTGACCTTCTATCTCTCGAAACGTACCACACTGTAAGGCCAGAATGACCACTACACTACTACTAGTACTTAGTAGATAGCAGGTACTAGGAAGGACCCACAGACACCAATCAAAGCTTGCTTGTAAGCCGCCACCGTATGACTGTACCCAAGTACTAGTTAACTAGTACCTGCCTGGTATTTTTTGGACTTCTTGCCTTAGGCATAAACTCGTGGCTGACTGATGGTCCGTGGCTAGTGCTCAAGCTACGTACCTCTTCAACATCCACCACCTAACTGTTCGGCGACAGCGCTTCACCCCTTCATCCAGCGTACTCGCCAGGTTTTCTTCTTGTGTTGAGATCTTCATATCACATACAGTCTCCTCTGCACCACAGATCGTTCGAAATCTCATATCCAAGACCTTTGGTTTCGTAAAACCAGTTTATAATACCGAAGGAGTGTCATCACTCTATCTCCATAATGGCGCTCGATAATTACTATCACAATAAAATCGAGAGCATGAAGCTCGAGATCATTCAAGGACAAGCGGTGCTACGGAGATTAGAAGCACAGCGTAATGACTATAACTCGAGGGTACGGTTACTTCGTGAGGAACTGGGATTACTCCAGCAGCCTGGCTCCTACGTCGGCGAGGTGGTCAAGGTGATGAGTACCAAAAAGGTACTCGTGAAAGTACATCCAGAAGGGAAATATGGTTAGCTTGATACCTACCTTTTCCTCGAATTTGTCATCCTGTAGCTGACTCGTTTTGGCGTGCATCTAGTGGTGGATATTGCAGATGGTGTCGACATCAGCAAGCTGACTGTAGGCAAACGAGTCGCCCTACTTTCCGACTCTTACAAATTGGAAAAGATGCTACCTTCGTCCGTTGACCCTCTTGTGTCTCTTATGATGGTTGAGAAGGTTCCGGATAGCACCTACGACATGATCGGTGGTCTCGATCAACAAATCAAGGAAATCAAAGAAGTTATTGAACTTGGCCTGAAACATCCGGAGCTGTTTGAATCTCTTGGCATCGCACAACCGAAAGGTGTTCTTTTGTATGGGCCGCCGGGAACTGGTAAAACCCTACTTGCTCGAGCAGTTGCGCACCATACCGATTGTCGATTCATTAGGGTTAGCGGTTCGGAATTGGTGCAGAAGTATATCGGTGAAGGTAGCCGTATGGTGCGCGAGCTGTTTGTGATGGCTCGGGAGCACGCACCGAGCATCATCTTCATGGACGAGATCGACAGCATTGGATCCAGTCGCATAGACTCAGCAGGGTCGGGTGATTCAGAGGTGCAGCGTACGATGTTGGAACTGCTCAATCAATTGGACGGTTTCGAGCCTACAAAGAATATCAAAATTATCATGGCTACGAACAGGCTGGATATTTTGGATCCGGCCCTGTTGCGCCCGGGACGGATCGATCGGAAAATTGAATTCCCCCCACCATCGTAAGCATCCTTTCCCTGACTCTATAGCATGTTTCGGCAGAATGACGGGTGGTATGGATGCAAGTTATTAACTCACATTTCTTATTGGCAACAGGGTCGAAGCTCGCGCAGATATATTGCGAATTCACTCACGATCAATGAACTTGACGCGTGGTATCAACCTAACAAAGATTGCAGAAAAAATGAACGGATGTTCTGGTGCGGAGCTAAAGGGTGTATGCACTGAGGCAGGCATGTACGCCCTTCGAGAGAGGCGGGTGCATGTTACGCAAGAAGACTTTGATCTGGCTACGGCCAAGATTCTCAACAAGCATGACGATAAGGAGGTTGCTGTCTCCAAGCTTTTCAAGTAGATATAGCAAGACTGAAGAATGGAACCGGCTTGATAATAGATCTGAGCCTATTGCACGAAGCATGTAACACTATGCCGCCTGCTACTATTGCTACCATCCCGATTCCTACTGGCTATTTTGGATACTGAAACAAGGGTTCCATGGCACTCTTCCCAATTCTGAATGATATAGAGATCACTGGGCAGTCAGTGATTCTCTACCCTTTGTCTAGTAGAGGTGGTCACCGGATGACCTTCCCAAGTTTCACCATGTCCTATTTGGCACATTCAATGAGTGATAATCGTGGATATGAGAATGTCTTCTAGGTGGTCATAGCCCCCTACGCGAAATTAGAGAAACCTTAAGAGGCAGTCACCTCACCTCACTTCATCCTTGACGATGTAGTTTACTAGTTTTTCCGTTTCTGTTGTTATGTTCACTGCCCACAGAAAACACAGCAAGTGACCACCTGGAGAAGGTTCCAAGGTTGGATAAACCTCCGCAACCTAGTACGACGGATAGATATACATATGGCATCAACAGAGACGTACTAAGTACTAACCCCATAAGCGCTTGCTAAATCTACCTAATATATATTAACCAATGGCCTAAAATTCTCAAAAGACATAGTATAGAATACAGGTCGATACTAGGTACGGAGCTGTACAACCAAGAGTTACTCCAGTACGCGTGATAACACATGATATGGGCACATCATACTACTCTTGGTCAAACAATCACGTGACAATACACAAACTAGTCCTAGTAGTACTCCAGAGTAGAGTAACTTTTGGTGCACACCTGATGATGTATAGTTATTACTAGTTACTTCGGAGGGCTTAGTAAAAATAAAGGATAAAAAGTATGCGTCGCTGTTTGAAAAACACCCAGGCGCCAATTCAACAATAAGTTCTCGTTTTGACCGGGTGGTCGATCTATGTAGTTCGCCGTACGGAGAACATATCCCACAGCTGAACTCAGTTGGGAGATATATCAAGGGTGATCTGCAAGGGATACCTTCACCTTCTTCTCTTTTCGAATGCTGATTTACTGTAGGGTAGCTTGACCTTTTATCAGCTATTTAGTACTCTGTAAATTGCGGATGAATAGAGCAGTACCCAACCCTTGGTTAACCATTGCTTGCGGGTTGTATAACTAAGTACCGGGGCTTAACTAGTTATAACTAGTTAGTTAACTAACTACGTTCATGTGCTTATTAATCGTTCATGCTAACTAGTTAACTACTCCAAAACCATAGAGGCCTCCTATAACGGTAGGGAGTTGAGGTATGGCTGAAGTACATCACTTCTTATCTTTCCATTCAGTAGACGGGAAACTGGGGCAAAATGGGGGAGGGATTGTACGAAGAACAAACCAATTAGATTATTTATCGGAAGAACTGGATGATCGCTTCTTGTGTGCTTTGGTTGACGCGTCGTGGGGAGAAGTTTGGAGTCCGCGTGACTAGCAGATCAGTTACGCGTTGTGGATCAGCCGATTGTCGTGTCTCCATACCATTTCCTCAAGTATCCCGTTCAGGGTCTCGGCTCAGGTGGGGCAGTCTAGATCTGATGACCTTCAGTAAGGTGGATACTCCAGACGGAAATAACCACAGAGTAGTCCTCCGTACTCCGTATAAACATCGGTAGGAATAAACTTGTACGGATATCCATTTACAAACCCTGACCTCATCAACATCCGAGTAGAAAGGTACCATCTCGTACTACGGAGTAGATATCCTTGCCATACTCAGAATTGAGACTAAATTCCATCCTTTCATAGTGGACCTAGTTATGAGGGTTTCTCTGGCAAGTTCCTCGGAACTACCAAACCAATCCATTCAAGGGAAGGTAAATTTCGGGACCCGGAATACCTTTCTACAGCTCATAATCAAAAGCCACTTTGTTTTCTATGCTGCTTTGTTCTTCGTTCGATAGTTTAATGTTTCCTGCAGCGCTGTATTACCCACCTTGTTCGGGATGGGGTCATGTCTCCCTACCTGGCCCACACCGGCGGTTGTGATATTGGTTGGTCGGTGCTTGATTGACACGTCTCCCTCCCCATTCCAGCACATTCATAATGTATTCTTCATATAAAATCGGCCCAGGTTATTCATTGAAGGGGGACTTTATATTTTTTTAATCTCAAATCCGCGGTCGTATGTTTCTCCATACTATACCTTTATCTAGATCTACAAGGACAAGGGCCAATCCGTCCATATATTTTAAGCTTGTTCCATCGGGTTTCTAGAATTTAATTATCTACCACGAAATCATCGGCTTCCAGTCCGAACGCATTCCCCGGACTTGCTCTTTTAGTCATTTCCGTTTCGACTGTTTTCATTGTTCGGTGTACTTTCTACTCCGTACTACTGCCGCTAACACCATTTACTCGGTGTACGTTGATTTGTTCGTTCAACCCAATTTATCCGGCTTACGCTTTACACGGTTACTCGCCATCGGGCCCCCGTTACACTTTCGTTGACTCTTTCTTGTCACTAAATGCTTTAGATATACTCATATTCATGTTCATATATGGGAAGTCTTAGCCAGCTTCTCCTGCACCATCTCTCCGTCTACTTCAATAAGCGGCGAACACCACCTTCCCGACCCTTTACTTTTCGCCTGTACTGAACTATGGCCCAAGGAGAGTTGTGGTCTACACTAGTCACTGCAATCGATCCAGGAAATATCAGAGCTATGCCGGCTGTCCTTCAGTCAACTATCGATCTCTTAGAGACAGAACTGGCCAAGGCCAGGGCCGCGCTCAAAGAAATTCAACCTGATACTGCACCCATCTTGCTACCTGGAGATGAGCTTGCCGTTGGGGCGATTGCGGCTTATCGCCAAAATCTCATTACACGAGCCTCAGACTTTTACTATGGCTCCCGCCGCCTGTCTCCCAAGGAGGTGGGACTAGTCCCTGTCATCCAAGAGCTACAGTCAGATGAAGAAGAGGACGAGGAGTCACGCCAAAAACCTGAAGGTATTATTCTTGCGGTGCATCCCAAGCAAGTTTCCCTCGTGGATGTTTTCTCGAACAGCCTGATTCTCGATCATATGGCTCCATACCTCTCAGTCCCAACACTGCTTGCCCTAGCCTCAACGTCGCGTGTTCTTCGTTCCATGATTATGGAAACTCCGTATATTTTTCGGCATCTCGATCTGACCCAATGTCTTGGACACTGGTTTCCTAATAAGTTATTGAGGAGCTCAGAAGCTCGAGTTAGTAGCAATGAAGGTCTGGAGAACGCCTTGACTGAGAATACACCCCATTCAGCCCCTCTTCAAAGAATATTCGCTGGTTTGGGGCGGGGTTCTATCCTTCAAGATGTGCGAACCCTAATCTTGGATGGTCTTCCTGTTCCCTCAGATCTGGTTGCGGAACTTATTTTGACAGACCGTTTCAGTGTAAATCTACTGTCAATAAGGGAATGTCGCCATCTAAATGAGCGCAAACTGATACAAGTGCTTCAGCATGCTGTCCGGCCTTCGCGTCCCAAAGGGACCCCTCGGGTGAAAGGTATTTATTACTTCACCCCGGTGAGCCAGCCTCGAGCCATCATGCGGAGCCGGTACCGTGACTGGTGGAGTTCCAGATGCATACGTCCAACGAGCTACGAAGCTCTGAAGACGCAAGAAGAGCCCCAATCCGATGGTGCTCGGGAGAGCGCATTATATTATCAGAATGCGTGGTATCGACCCTCTGGAAAACTTATACCTCGCTCGATCGAGGACGGCTGGGCTCATACAATTCAACAATGCGAGGGTATCATATCTTTCGACGCCGTACTGTGTCGTGGTCCCCGACACACTCTTGACCTCCACACTTCACCAGGACATAACGAAAATAGGTATCAGGCCGAAGATCAGCCACTCGGACCAGCAATCGCTACCGTCGCTTTGGGTCCCAGAGGGTGTGACGGCTGCCATACTTCGCCTGAAGGTCCGGCAGTCTGGGGTGAATCTCCGGAAGGGCAGTTTCCCTTGCTGGCCCCACTCCCTTTGCATTCGTCGTCTATAGCTGTGGCGAAGCGTCCAGCGCTCTTTCCCGATGCGCACCCTATCCTGGTTGCCCGTTGCGCTGAGTGCTTGAATGATCGCTGGTGTCGTCGGTGCAACAAATGGTTCTGCACGAACTGCCTACCAAGTCCCGAGCGGGCGAGGACTAACTTATCACCCCATCAAACTGCGATCAGGGGACCGCGAAGTAACCAGGATACAAGCTTATCTTACGAGCGAAGGGTACACTTCTCAGTGATTGCTAAATCCCAATGTAATGAACAGCCACCACTGACATGAATGTGACAGAGATTCCAACCTGGAGTGAGCAGAGACTGCTGGGAATGCGGGCCGACGGCAAGTGATTTTTTCCCTCTCTTCCAACTTATTATACCAAATTGATGGACTTGTCATATTAATCTGATGTACTCTTTCAGTGTGCTACCTGTAAAATTGAATGCCAAAGGACGTGTCAGAATTGCCAAGGAGAATATTGTATTGATCATAATGAAGGTTGCTCTCCAACGATGGTATGCTATGAACCGACTTGTATGATTTTCAAGTAACAAGGACTAATGAATGCCATTCTAGTGTGACTGGTGTAATACAAGTGCGCGTCATCATTTGAGGCAGCTCTATTGATATGTGGGTAAGTTAAAGGGGCATTTCAGGTTATACCTAGGGAACGTCTTATCTGAGATGTGAAGTAGATCATTGTTCATCATTTTTCACTTACATCAAGGGCTTTGTTTTTTCTGATCCTGATAGCTTTAATGACCTCATATTTTCATGGCCTGAACAAGAAAGCTTGCTTGAAGCCAGTCGATACAATTCTTTCCGTCTGAGGAATATGTTACGTCCTGGAAATATGGAGCCAATGAAGTAATGTGGTTGTGCCGTTTATACCCACCATATCTACTCCGTAGAAGTTGTTTACTAGCTTCAAGTTGAAAGTAAGACCAAAGGCAGTTCTATTCTTGTGCTCTTTGTGCGTCTCTGCTTTTTCCTCGTCTTTAGATACGGTAAGTCATTGGGACCACTCCATAAGTTTCCTTGTCTAGAGCTGTATATCTAATCCTTTCCTTTTCCTGTCTATTAATCGATCCCCTTCCTACATCTATAGACTAGAGAAATAGATCATATAACCTCTCTAGATTATTCATGTACCCAACGAACTCAAAACTGTTGGCAGGCATAATCGAGTGGTCAAATTATGGCAGAGTGGGCCTATTGACTTGCAGCAACTAGAACCACGTAGCAATTCTGAGGACTATTCCGTAGAAATCTCAGGCTTGGGCTCTTGCTCCCCATTTTGGGGGCTATTTGGCACCGTCTCTTGGTTACTGAGTAGACCAGAGCGTGGGGTGACCACAGAACTAGGCGAAGTGCTGAGCGACCCTCAGGTAATGATTCAAGAACCAAACTAAAAATCTCATTCTGGCAGTAACAGTACGGTTGGCACCACTGGCCTCTCCAGAGCTCGCGTCACGAACCTTTTGCTCCACATGTAGTGACTCTGGGAGGACTGTCGATCGAGTGTCGACTGGCTCGAGACAGGCGGGTACGCGGGCTTCTTCCAGTCATGAGTTGCTCCACTGGTGAAGTCTAGGCCGGAGGAAGAACCCCTTGTCGCGCATCTATAAGCCATTTAGGAGGAACAGGGCCTCGATCACAGGGCTCTCGTGGAGATAGTCTACCTCATCGATCATGTCCAGACCGACGGCGACAGCGAGCTCAGATCAAAGACATTAAGGGCCAAGCTGCGAAATAATATACGCATTTCCAACTCGCCTGCGTCTTTGAACGCACGCTTCCCGATCTAGATGATGTGGTCGAACTGCGGTAGACACCCCAGCAGCTATCAAGCATCAGGTCACCTACGAGCGATTTAAGGACCTCAATGGCCCCCTGGGCCATCCTGGCTAGGAAATCGATATACCGGTATTAGCTCGCGAGGTAGGATGGGTTATACATCATAAAGAGTTCGTTAAGAAAGAAGGCAAACAAGAAACTCCCCTATATACTGTATATCCTGCCCGGCTAGACCGGCTAATCCTGTTCTAGTAGGTGGATGGAATCAGTTGATTACTCTGCGTAAGGCTGGATGGAGTCAAGTAGATTTATGACAAATGTTTAAAAATCCTTGGGCGGTGAGGGTAGCTTCGAGAACAGCCGCGACGCCTCTTATCTTCGTATTAACTCTGGACTCCACCACTAGTTATCAAAAAAGTTTCCCCCACTTATCTAAGATGTTGCGGAACATCTCGTTCATTTTACCTCATAGCCTCTGCTATAGTGCCAGTCAGAGTCATGTCTAAGGAATCGAGTCTCTTGCGTTGGTCCTCCTCATTCACGGTCACTGCGCCCCGTCATACGCCCAAGCTGCCCGGCGACAAAATCACTTTGCCCCAGTCCGCCCTCGAGCAGCTCCTCGCAGCTGCCCCGCTCCAGGCGGTATTTTCAAATAGGCCTGCTCACCCATATACTACAACCTTTGATCCACTCAATCCGCGAACCTTTGCGGCTGAGTCACGAGCACGTGAACAAGCTTCAGAACGTCAACATCAGTTACCTCATCCGTTAACATTCCGTATTGTCAACCCCAAGAATGGCCGTGCGATATACGCTGGGATCCGCGAATTTTCCGCCGAAGATAACGAAGTTGGTCTTAGTGTTTTCTTGAGAGACGCCTTAGGGATTGAAGACAACCAATTCCCGGCGGAGACAAGTAGGTGCTGGCAGACTTCGGAACCATCGGAAACGATAGACGGCACTGCGGAACCACTGCCTGCTTCTTTAGCCCCGGAATTAGCTCCTATAGTCACAGTCCATGTTGAACAGTTGGCCAAGGGAACCTATGTTCGTCTCCGTCCTCTTGAGGCTGGCTATGATCCAGAGGATTGGAAGGCTCTGCTTGAACGATACCTGCGAGATAACTTCACGACCTTAAGTACAGGAGAGGTCTTGCAGGTGTCGGGGGGTCGGCACGAGTCGTTTAGGTTCTTGGTGGACAAAATTGAGCCAGAGGGTGACGGCATTTGCATTATTGATACAGACTTGGAGGTAGACATTGTGGCCTTGACTGAAGAGCAGGCAAGAGAAACCTACCGGAGGCGGCTGGAGAAAACATCTCGTTCCATTGGAACCCAGGGGGGGTCGTCAACTGGCGGGGTAATTTCTATTGGAGAGAAAGTGAATGGCCTGGTATTTCCAGGTACATACGTTGACTACGAAATCCGCCAGTGGGATCGCAGAGACCCTATTATTATCACAGTCGAAAGTGCGGATGATGCGGATGTCTCCCTTTTTATCAGCCCCCTCACTGCTCGCCAGAGGAACCGTCCTAGAGAAGACGAGCACCTTTTGGGTGACTTCACTACTCAACCAATCAAGCGTGTTCAGATTGAGTCCACAAATGTAGAGCTGGAGACGGCAGAGGCTCTATATGTATCGGTTTATGCATTCGGCCATGTTGAATACAGCGAGGAGCATTCACAGAATCAAGAGCTACCGCTGCAATACAAGTTGCAGATTTCAACTAGTCAGTCGGTTGGCTCCGACGAAGATTCGAAGGAGACATTAGCGCATGGTAATCCGAATGAAATTCAATGTGGCAATTGCCAACAGTGGGTGCCTCAGCGAACGCTAGTGCTGCACGAGAGCTTTTGCCTTCGGAACAACGTACTTTGCCCTCAGTGCCATAATGTATTCCAAAAAAGGTCGTCTGAGTGGCAGAATCATTGGCATTGCCCTCATGATTCATCTTATGGCAATGATTTTGCAAGTAAGCACAAGCATGACGCTATCTTCCACTCCCAGCGGCCATGTCGCGCTTGTGGGCTCGAGATGGAGGGCCTTCCGCAACTCGCTCATCACCGCATAACTGACTGTCCAGAAAAACCAATCCTATGCCAATTTTGTCATCTTGTAGTCCCCCAAAAAGGCGAGGCGGATCCCGATATGCACGACCCAGATGTCCTGGTATCTGGACTCACTCCACATGAATTAGTTGACGGTGGTCGAACAACGGATTGTCACCTGTGTAACAAAATTGTTCGACTGCGCGACATGAAGACCCATTTGCGTCATCACGACCTGGAACGCTTGTCCAAACCCCCACCCCGTGTTTGCATGAACCAAAATTGTGGCCGTACACTTGATGGGCGCAGTGTACAAAATGCAGCCACGCCAGGCACTGATACGTTGGGCCTCTGCAATTTCTGCTTCGGACCACTATATGTGGATATGTATGACCCAGAAGGAAAGGCACTCCGCCGCCGCATCGAGCGTCGATACGTTTCGCAAATGATGACCGGGTGTGGGAAGCCCTGGTGTCAGAATGAGTATTGCAAGAATGGGAGACGGATCAGACAGCCTTCTTCGATACCAAAGAATGATACTCCGCTCGAATCGATGAGCGTAGCAAATATTCTAGCCACAATTAAACCCTTCGTCGACGCAATATGTCTGCAGAGCGGTAATCTAAACACCGCACCGGTTTACTTTTGCACCGACCAAGTGGGCCAGCAGCGCCGCATACTCGCGGAGATGATAGCGGCCGAAGGTTCCGTGGCGAGTAGCAAAGGGTATGGTTTACCATGGTGTGTGGCATCTGTTGAAGCCACTGGGGGGGATCTTACCAAAGCACGGGAATGGCTAGAGAACTGGGCACCTGCGAAAGACGAGGAATCTAGTGCTCTGTATTAATGTCTGAGGGAATTGACAATCTCCATACTAATGCTAAGGCTTTAATCTGACTATCTTTGATAGATAGTTAAAAAGGTATGGCGAGGTAAGCCCGTTCTGGTGGACAGTTTATCTTACGTACGTCATTCACGCTCAGGCCGGAGCGGAATTTCAGTAGAATGTGAATTTTCTATTACCTGTACCTGTTTTTTTGAGGCCTATTCTTATTTTGTTGCGTTCATCAACCATAAGCAATAGGCCCTCGTTGACTGGGTTTAACAGACAGAAAGCCTGTAGACACGAGTGTAGAGATCGTTGATTCATGATATTCTTATTATTATTATAATGTGACCGAAATTCCATGTTATCTACTCAGGACCAAGAGCATCCACTCAGAAGTCATATCACATTGGTTGCGAGAGAAAGCTTCAATATCAAGTTGCACCCGTCTTTGCAGCCAGATTTCCACTTCCGCGTGAAGAGAAAATTCCCATGATCCCGAAGACGACGTAAAACAGCGCCAATGGGTACGCTACTAAGCCTCTCATCCCACGCATCCGTGCAACCGCGCAAAACATTCCCGAGGAGCTGTAAGTACACCACCCTACGGCGGCTGTGGTCAACAGATACCCGAACATAGTGTCCATAGGGATCATTATCCCAACAAGGTTAGTGAGCACAAGCGGTAGGAAACAGTAGCCCAAAACACTAGCAGAGCGAGGGAATGTCAATGTGGCCGAGAAATGACCGGCGGCCGAGGCCTCGGAATACGAAGGTTTGTGATGAGGGTCGTAGTTGGCCGGGTCTGCAGCATTGGGCGCCGGGGCGGTATCGAGAGCCGGAGACATAAGACTAAGAATTAAATGTAAAGCGACGGTACCGAAAACTGCAACACCGTAGATATAACCGTAAAAGACTTTACCAGAAAGGAGGAGGAATGTTCCATAAAGGACGATGTAAAGCAGTGCTCCATAGAGATCGCTGTCATCCATGAGATGCTGGTCGATCCGGGCGAATGGGTTGAGCACTGTCAAAGTCTACAAAATGTAAGTTGATGCCATCATGATGAAGGGTAACAAGGGGAACAAGCCTTAGTCCTGATATGTTCGAAATTTACCCCTAACTCCTCCAATAACGGCGGTTCCCCCTCATATCCCTCTGTACCAAATGCAGCAAGCCACCCAGTCCTCAATCCACCCTGTTCGCCCATCCGCCCACTAACGCCAGTGGCTGGAGACCCAAAGCCGCCATATCCACCACCAACGGGGTACGCCTGAGCAGCCGAATTGGGGCCTGCACTAAAGCCACCATAGGAAGCTTGAGAGGGAGTTGTATGGCCAGATACAGAACCGTAGGAAGAAGGATAAAACTGAAGGTTCTGTGCAGAAGCCTCGGATCCGTAGGGCTGCTGTTGTGGGTAGTATTGGGCCATTAGGGCCGAGTGATGCAAGCAGAAGCTGTCTAGATAGGGGGCTCAAAGGTGAAAGCGCACACAAATGACAATATAATCGTAGTTTATTGGTGGTGTCAACGAATTAAGAGAAAGACGAACCAACATGGAGCGGAAAGCTGTAGCAAGAGAGCACTAGTGACAGTTGTCGGTATTGCCGCACTAAGTCCGACGAGACCCGTGACTTGGATGGTGAAGAGGCTGATGTGGATGTTTACCATATTGGGCTTAGATCATTTACATTACACTAATCACGCGGTACATCGTAATACTAATACCACAAAGACTTCTATTAATTGCAACAAGATCAAGACTTTCTACAGGAAATTAATACCTATTCCAAGCTGCAAACCTTTTCGGCCTTCTTCGCCTTTCCTTAGCACCAGTGGTAAAGAGAAGTTCAGCTCGAACCTAGCAGCTGGATGAGCGTACACGAGTCCAACTCCTGCTGCAATGCTAGGCATTCCATTACCCAGCTCGGAAACTGTAGAAACCATGGCATCCTTCACTTCTGAACCTGTAGTAGGTGCGCTCTTCTGTGCGGTTCGTAGCGGCAACAGACGACCGCCACTCACAAACGCCTGAAATCGCAAGGGCTTTTCCGCACCAACTCGGGGGAGTGGAAGTAGCAAGTTTGCACTCCCTGCAGCATATACGTCTCCCCCTACAGCATCAGCTCCATCGTGAGGTCCAAGGCCGCAGAGGCGGAAACCGCGAACATCCGTGGGGCCACCGAGAAGAAAGCGATCATTAGTGCGCGAAACCTGGAGTCTGTGGTCGGCATCCATTCCAAGGGGATAAAGGAGACCGGCACGGAATCCAGTGGTAAAGCTGATACCACTATCGCCTTCGATGCCAGGCACTGGAATTGGAATTGCATTTTGCGCTTCAATTTCAGATTTCCAAAAAGACACATCTCCCTTTAGCGGACCCCAGCCGGCTAGCTCATTGAAAGCTTTAGCATAGTAGCCACGAGATGGAAGAAGCCCATTATCCCGGCAGTCTTTGGACCAGCAATGAAAGATGCTGCTTTTCACACTATCACCTGCGTCTGCTCGGACTGTTGGGGATGCGTTCTCCGCCAGGCCAGTCATCTGCCGCCAAAAACCATTGTACCCGACTTCATGGCGATGGCCAGACTGATTCATCCACCGGAGCTTACTCCAGCCACCTTTTAAGGCCTCCTCGTGACTAGCCCAAGCCTTTTGGGTAGAGCTAGCGATTCCGCCAATTTCCAAGCGGAAATCCGGGTCACTCAAAATAGGTGTTTCAAATGTTGCTTGGTAGGCAGACCTTGTCCTAGTACCCAGTGAAGCGTTCAAATTTAGGTTCTCGGCACCGCCAAACACGTTCCGCCAGAGAAGATTGCCATATGCGGATCCCTCAGTGTTACCGAGATCGGTCCCGGTCTTCAACAGAACACGAGACTTTTCTTTGACCGATACATACACGTCAAGATTTGGTAGTCCCGTTTGTGGGTCTCCTTCGGGTGATTGATCCAAGTACACAGACACTGGTTGCTGAAAAATGTCTGCAATTGCGTTAATCAAGGGCTTAGTGGCAAAGAACAATGATTTACAAACCAAATCTACTTAGTCTATTGGCACGTGCCGAGACTTCCCGTAAGGCTTCAGAGAGTGTGTAGGGCTTCTTCTGGTTAGAACTCAAGAGAGGGTTAAAAATCCGTTCAAGAAAGCCCCTGCGCGTGTGGTGTGCGTTGAGGATTTGAACAGAGGAAATGGCACATGGAAGGGTGGAATTTTGGTCGATCTAATACCATAGGCATAGGATCAGTACTCATTGTATTATGTTCAGTTGTCTTTTACCTCTATGCAATATTGGAGAACGGGGGAAAGAAGGATAAGAAAAATATAAGAGGGAAGTGAAACCACACCAATTCCCCAAGACGGGTCTGCGCCTTCTGGTAGATTGCGTGTATTCGCTCATTCACGGCCTGCTGACGCTCCTCGAGAACTTTCGGGTCAGCACGCTGTTGAAGACGCTCGAAGATCTGAGAAAACAGAGAAAAGTGGTTAGCAATCACAAAAATAAGTGTGTTTTAATCAATTCTAAGAGATCAAACGTACATCTTCATCTTCGGCAGAAAGTGGGGAAGACATTGTTGCGGCTACAATGGCCAGCGACGCATCTGGAAGGCTTTCTCGGCTATCTTCGATTGTCCCGGAAGTTGAGATGAAGCCTACATATTGACACGTGACCGGTGGTGCTCCTTAGATTCACTCCACCAACAACGCAGTGATTTTCCATCATCACTTTGCTCAGTAGACAAACCCTGCGCAGTCTACAAACCGTATCTGCCTGTCTCTGTTTTATCATTTCCGTGGGATTTTCCCTGAATCTCCGCACTCGAAAATAGAGCCCAAGCTAGGCAGAATACAATTCTTGTGAAAAGATGGCGACAAAAGCAGCCTTCAAACGGGTGAGTCTGATCACTTGAATAGTACTCGAGCTGTTACTAATCACTGTACAGCTTACTCGTGAATATCAGAACATACAAAAGAACCCACCGCCCTATATAATTGCTCATCCATCAGAGTCCAACATTCTTGAGTAAGATGCCGATCATATTTGCCGTTGTTTCTTCCGAGTCGGCATTGATGCAGGATATAGATGGCATTACATCCTCACTGGCCCCCCTGGGACACCGTACGAGAATGGACAATACTGGGGTACATTGATGTTTCCTCCAGAGTACCCGTTTGCTCCACCAGCCATCCGCATGCATACCCCAAGCGGCCGATTTCAACCATCTGCTCGACTATGTCTCAGCATCAGTGATTTTCATCCCAAGTCCTTCAACCCAGCTTGGGAGGTTTCGACGATTCTTATCGGACTACTCTCCTTTATGACTAGCGAAGAGATGACTACGGGTAGTGTCAGTGCGTCAGAAGCGGAACGAAGAGTGCTAGCCGCGCGATCGAGATGGTGGAACTCCACCGGTGGAGGGTCTCACGTCATTTCCACTCCAGGAGTGACCCCTACAGCCAAGGGAATCAATAATGTGAAAGCAGGGGATGGCGGGCTGAAGTTTCGCGCAGAATGGCCAGAATTAGATCAAGAGAACTGGAAGTGGATGAGGGACAATCGTATTGACACGAACACTGGTCAACTCATACCTGACCCAAATGCTGCTGCTACAAAATGTTCTCCGGAGACCAGTGCATTACGTAGGCGCCCGAATGGAAGTGCCCATGGCCTCGGGGCTGTGGTAGAAGGTGGTCATGTCGCACGAGAAGCGGGCCAAAGCTGGGTTCGACGAAATCGAGTTTGGGTTGGTCTCGCCTTGTTGTTTGGATATGCGCTTGTCGCGAGACTTCTAAATGATGTTCAAGGTTAAGATTAAGTGCCTTAACTCTTAACCCCTTTCATACCCAGGAAACGTTTGGCACCCAATACGCATTGTCTTTTTATTTCGCGGTTTTTCTCGGTACCCCTTTTTCTCTTCCTCTTCCTCCCTTGTCTTTCTATTCTTCTGTTAATCGCCATTTCCCTTTATCATTCATAATTACTCTTCCCCCCCCTCTCTTTCCTTCGCTTGCCTTTTTTATTTCGTCCGTTGTTCCTTTTTCTACGGCGGCAGTTTCCTGTATCTTCCTTCGTGTTTTGTAAGGTTCGTTGGTTTTATAAGACTGAAAGGCGTCTAGAACAGGGCGGCGTTCGGTGGTAATTTGAGAAGTTTCAGGTGTCTAGGACGTATTGAATTACCAGTGTGCTCTGCAATCAAAGATCACGGCACTGTTCAACTGCATCACTGCACAGCATTTGTCCTACGACGTATACACTCATTCTGCTTTGGTCGTCTACCACTTTATACGTACGGGGTATGAAGATAAAAAAAGGTATATACACCCCGATTCCCAAAATCATATCTGCAACTGGGTATGTATCACACATACCGTGCAGAGCTACCTAACTTTAACTGGGGGTTTGAAGAATACTCTGATTAATAGTGGCCTTACATATGAGGATCCTAAGGTACTAATGAAATATCTAACTAGAGGTCCTACATGAATGACTCAGCAATACAACAGCTGCTGCTTTAAGTTGTGGGCATTATCTTGGGTTCTTAGCAGCGTTGGTGAATGAAACTCGCGGTGTTCGAACTTGGGCATCTATACTACTAATATTGTTTGATGTGTAATTCTCCCATTTTTTATTTATTTATTTATTTTTTTGTGGGGAGGGGGATGTAAATGATGAGCTAGGTTGGATTGAAACTCTTCCGTAGAGCAACTAAGGTGATGCGAACATTTACTATGAGAAGTTAACATTGCCTAATCGTCCACATGCAGCGTATGTGGCCTAGTAATAGTTTGATTCTGTAGAATTTTGAAGGTATATATTATTATATTGAATGCCGGCTAGATTTTCTTTTCCTAAGGGTCCTCCAGTTTCAAGGCTAGCGTACGGAGTTCTCTCCGGAGCTAATGTCACTACAATCAATGCATGCAACCATTTACCCCGGAATACTCCTATGTTTGCTTGGTAACTCATTCTTCCACCTCCCCATTCTCACTCTTTCAGTAGTGTTGAGCCATCCGATATGTACCGGCTTGAGGAATTTGCTATTATGGACTCCGCCACGAGGTCTATTGCCACGCATTACTCCCATTCAGGTTCGTCTGGGTTTGTGTTGTCCAATCGTCCTTATTATCATCACCATCACCATCATTGTCATATTTGAAATCCTTTGCATCTCATTGCGGGCCAAGTATCATAGCCCCCCTGTTTTACTATATTATGCCTACCCCCAAATGAACTTTCTCCCTCGGCTTTGTAATTTGTACCTTATATCTCCCTGAAGATCGTACGGCACTACTACTTAGTGTCCATGCTTGTCACTCTTCATAGCTTTTCCTTTTCCTTTTACTATTCCTTTCTCTCTCCTTCTTTCTTTTTGCCCCTGTGTATCTGACTCCCGCTAGAATGTGGAACCTATTATCACTTTCTGATTGACACCAAGCCGCCTGTATCAATGCAATATCAACCATCATAATACCCTCAGTGCCTATCATTTCGAGTGTTGATTTCGTCGTTCTAGGGCCGAGGCCAACAATCATTACACCGCCGGATCGACCTATATTCACATTTATTGACCATGACGATGATTTGAGTTCCAAACGAATCAAAGATGCTAATGCTCGCAGGACTATTCGCTCTCACGTTATGCGTGACGTGCGTAGGCGTGAGCGACTTGCTGGACTGAAGCGTGTTTCTAGGCGTGAAAGACTCGCGGGTAAAGCCGTTATCCGGTCAAATTTCGAAAACTCGCCGTCAGAGCGTGCCTTACCCACAAGGCTTGCCAACCCATCCTCGGAGCCAAAATTACTCATGGGACGAGGGTCGCCTTGTGACCTTGTCAAAAATAAGGAAAAACGACAGCAGCCAGGTAGGCGCTGTGTTGTTCATCCAATATCAGCAGGCTCTATTTCGATTCCGCTTCCTTTTCCTACCTCATGGCTTGTCGACCCATTCAGTACATTGCCAGGTGCCGGTGATGTGCCTATTAGTATTACTCGATTAGTCTTTCATTGTGAGTCGACCGCTTTGTCTTTACCAGCTTTCATGTTTCCAGGGGTGCGTTGGCGATTTTCTGGGTTTCACAAAGTATACGTTGATTATTAAGGTGCACTGCCTGCAAGTGCTAAACTACGACTGACCCTGTAAAATGATTAGGGGGGACTGTCTTTGTGCCTATGACTTTCCCAAAAGAACATACTTTCAATGAGCGGGCTAAAACCGATATGGCAGTCCATTCTTCATTTACAGATCAGGGCAGTTTCTTTGGCTTAATGAGCATGTGCGCTGCGCACCGAGCTGTTTTGGCTGGACAACATTCACAATTCCTAGCTGTTTCGGAAGCCCCCCATCGCCTTTTACACGATACAGATTATTATATTATGAAAGCCAGGTGTATCCATGAGATGAATATCAAATTGTGCAATCCCACTCTATCGTTAAGCAACGAAGCATTTGGCACAATCATTAATCTACTTACGGGTGCAGTATGTATTCCTATTTTCTTTGCTCCGGTCGTGCGGAAAGTTTCTATGTTATTGTCAGTGGGTGGCCCATTGAGATCGAAGATATACAATTCTTGCTAATAAGTTCTTCTAACCCTTACTAGCTGATAGTCGGATTGTTTGATGAAGCTCGTATGCACCTCAGAGGCTTGAAGCGCATGGTGGACTTGCGAGGAGGAATTACAGACAACAGTATCCATCAGTCTTCAATGCTAGCTGCTATTCTTACGTATGTGCTTCGCCATGCACTTGTTACCGAATTTTGTTGACTGGTAACAATAGTACTGATGTGAAGGCTGCGTCGGGGCTTATGACCCAGCCGGTTTTCCCTTTGGCTCGTGGCCTGCAAACAGTTTCAGCCAGCATTCAAGAACGTATAGCGCCCTCAGATACGTCAAAATTACAGAGACTGGGTGTTGCATTTGTTTCTAACCCTCACCTCAGCTCTTGTTTGCTAAATATTCTCCGTGCTATGCGTGATATCATACTTTACGGCCAGGCTTGCAACCAAAACCCCGCTGTACTCTGCACCGATGACCACGAATTCTTTCGCAGTCTCAGTTGTGAAGTTGAGCATCGGCTCCTTAGTTATGTTTGCTCTGAATCTACTACACGAGGTATGCCATTTTCTGAGACGACATCAAATCTTGGTTCTGTAGAAGTGGTCACGAGGATTGCTTCTATCTGTTACCTAAACCATTTCCTTATCGTATCGCCCCCGTCTTCTGGGCTGGGTCGTGCGCTTACAAGGCATTTGAAGCAAGCTATAACTGATTGTCCCTGGTCACTATTATCGAAGAAGGGCCATGGTTTGTTCGCATGGGTATTATTCATTGGCGCTCAAAGCTCGGCAGGCCAGGTTGAACGCCCATGGTTCGTTGAGCGTCTATCCCGCATCGCCCTAGTTTGTGGGTGGCATACCTGGAGGCAGATGTCCGACGTGTTGATCGATTACTTTTATCTTCCTAGTACCAACCAAGAGAGCTGGACATCCATCTGGATTGAGGCTATGGTTTGAGCAAATTTGCGTTCTAGAAACATGGAACCAGGGTTTCTCTATTCACCTGTTCTTGGTCTATTTTAGCTGAATAATTAGCGCCATAGTATATACAGTACTCTACCGATGGAGTCGAAGCCACTCCAAACATTGCTTGACGAATAACAGCTGCATTTAAACCCAGCTAACTCCGTATAGCAGGGCTAGGCCGAAAGGTCTTCGTCAGAAGACTAACTATAGTAGTAGTCGCGAGGGTGTTCTTCTGGAAGAGTTGAATAGCTAGAGAACTGAAACAACATTTCTGCAGCACTGGAAGTACATGCTATCGCGACTGCTACAGTTTGCATGCCAGTAATAGAAAAAGTTGTTGGTAATTATTAGTAACGTAACCGGCAACCGAGCGTTCCACCTCTTTATTCTATATAAAATAGCCCTTTTTATAGTCTGAATATTCCAACAGTAGTAAAAATACAATACTCAATTTGTTGAAATATATAATATATAC